CGTTGTGAGGCAAGTTAGTTTTACCCTACTGTGATGTGTTGTGCGATAGTAATCCTGCTTAGTAATCCGGCCAATGGTGCGGACTGAATGCCTCTAAGTCCGAATCCCGCCTAGACATGGCAACGATAATTTTGCCCCTCGATATCGAGAGGCAAATCTACATAGATATGTATATGCATATCTATAATATTAGCCCCATTAGATGGTATTGCTATACGTGTCGAATAAATTGCATGTATAGTTGCCAAAGCTGAAAATCCGCTACCAATTTCAGGGTGCAAAATCACTTGTAGACGACATTAATAAAATATGATCCGTTTGAACCTGTAATTTTCGCTTTTTCTATAAATTTTCGGCATCATTTGATTATCATTTTGACATTATTCTTCTAGTAGTCGTGATAAACTTTATATAATTATTATATAATAAATACTATTGTTTAGATAAATCTAACTGCAACTGATTTACTCAATCAATCTCTCGTTTTAAGTGAAGCTCTTGTCAATACGAAAACGAAAGTGAATCTTTTCAAATTGATTTGCTCAAAGTTATTTAAAAAGCTGAGTGATACGGCCGATTTCCTTCAGGTGTTTGTTTCATTATATTCGCCTTTTCCTCTTTTCTTTCATATTTTTTCTTCGAATAGCCAGCCATCATTAGTTCCAGTAAATACTCTGGTTGATCACTTAATAAATTATGAATTTTTTTTTAGTCGCTTTTAGCTGACTTTGGTGCCACAGAAAAAGGACAACATCTTATTGATGAAATAAATGAATCGCGAACTGATCATGACCATTCATTATCACTTGCTTTTGAAATTAATGCAAAAATTAGAGGTTAAGAAGTCATTTACTATATTAATTTAATAAATATTTTGAATTTATTGGTAGTAATATTAATTACTTTGATGAAATTTTTTATTGATTGGAACTGTAAATATTCTGGGGATGTAGAATCCATCAAAATTTTATAGTTGAAATTGTTCATTAAATATTCATTTTCATTTCTATTTTAATTTGTAATTTTTTTTGCAGAAGCAGAGGAAAGCGCCAATAATCTCAAGATGTGTTTAGAACGCATTGTTAGCGGTTACTCAGCGGTTAATGTATCATTCTCATTCATTAAGCCTTTAATTCAGTTTTTCAATATTTTTCAGATCATTTCAAAAATAAATTATGATTTCATCATCAGGAGCAAAATGGTATTACAGACTGAAAAATAAAAGAGAATTTTTATATTAATAAAAAGTTTATGGAAAGTTAGCATGGTGGAGAATTTATACAATTTTTATTATTAGAAAAAATGAATTTTTTTCTTGTTTTGAAATCAAATTAAAATTCAGAACAGTTCTCCATTAGGTCCTTCATCTATTGTTTTAAAGATTGGAGTTTTTCTTTTTTCATAATTTATACATTTTTATTATTTTATTCAACTGAAGTGAAAAATATATATTAAGGATGAAGATGCTAAAATCTCCCTTAAAAGTCGTTTGCTGGATAGTGTTTTTGAAAAGGAAATGAATGAGAAGCTGATGATTTTCGAGCATTGCGACATTACTTCTTCATCTTCTCGTCTGTTTGAACCTGTAATTTTTGTTTTCTCAATCTTTAGAATCCATTGATTATGGTTCAATATCGGTGGTTTATAACTTCTTGAACGCTTGATGAGTTCTTTCTAGCTCTTTTTGAATTAGCTATTTTCATTTTGTTATTCATTCCATTATTTATCTATTTAGGTAAATGTAACTGCAACTGATTTACTCAATCGATCGCTCGTTTTAAGAGAAGATCTTATCAATATGAAAGCTAAAGCAACTCTTTTCAAATCGACTTGCTCAAAGTTGTTTGCTAAGCTGAACGGTACGGCTGATTTCCTTCAGGTTTTCGTTTCTTTTTCTCTTTTCCCTTAATCCTTTTCTTTCAAAGTAGTGGCGTACTGCCAATAATATCATAAAGGCTCTTTAGTTGGTCTCTTAATAAATTTAGTCACTTTTTTAGTCACTTTTAACTGAATTTGATGCCACAGAAAAAAGTCAGCGCCTCCTCGATGAAATGAGTGAATTGCGAATTGATCTTCATCGTTCATTATCACTTGCTTTTGAAATCAGTGAAAAAATTGAAGGTTATGATATATGATTATTATTAACTTAATAAATATTCTAAATATTTGAAATCTGAATTCACTGATCTTAGAATCCATTAAAATTTTTTAGTTAATATATATTGTTCATTAATTATTTATTTTTATTGTGATTTTTTTGCAGAAACAGAGAAGAATGTCAGTGATTTCAAAATATATTTGGAGCGCACTTGCCCATTGGTTAATGTTACCTGTCTCCTTTATTAAGAATTTTAAGAATTTAGAAATTTAAGACTTTAATCTTTATTTTCAGTTTATTTAAAATTATTTCACAGGTTTTTACAGAGTGAAATTCAGCCGAATTCACAAGAATTTAGTGATATATCGGATCAACAGTTAATGACGGAATTTGCTGACATGAAAAATTTTTTAAATGAGAAAGAATTTCCGCTACTACGAACTGAAGAGTCATTAAAAAATCAGTGCATCTCATCAGAAAATCAGAGTCAGTGTGCGTCTCATCAGAAAATCCCATCATTAAAACAATTAACTGAAGTTAGTTTGAGATTAGAGAGAAGATGATTTACGTCGTTAATTTATTTTATTTGGTTTTATATTTTTCAATCCATACATTCATTCCATTCCATTCCAAACATAAGTTTGGACTGATGGTTGTGAAAAATTATTGCTCCCAGAAAATTGCTACCTGGTCTACCAAACAAATTCTTTCGTGTTGTACCAGTACATATATTTTTGATGGTTGTTCCAGCATTTTTGAAGAACAATCCTTTTTTATCCTTCTGATTTATTGAATAAAAATTCTTTGCAGAATTGCATGGTCGATGAAATAAAAGGCCTTAAAGAAGAATTGCATCGGGTTTCTGACAGTGTTAAAGCTAATGAAGAAAACAGGAAAAAGGCGGAAGCAACGTGTGTTTTATTGCTTCGTGAAAAGCAAGAATTTGAGGTTCGTATTAATTCGTTTGTTTGCATTTGTTTTTACATTTTGATGCTACTTTTGTTTTATTTTATATTATACATTAATTGATTACTTTCATTGTTATAGACAGAAATAGTTAAGTATCGTGACATTATTAAAAGCTTGGAAAGGCAAAGGTCCAGCTGTTCATCGATCCAAGTTCAAACTGAAATGAACATCGGCTGGATTTCTTCACTTGAAGCTGATTATCAAAAATTGCTGCTAATAAATATTTGTGAACAAGAGAATGTTTGTATCCTATTATAAAATCGAAGTTTTCTTCAGCGAATGTTTTTTGTCTTAATTTATGCTAAAATTTAAGATTTCTAAGATTTATCTTTAGGCAGTTTGTTAGGAAATTCCTAAAGATAATTTATTATTTCCATTATTTAGATTTATTTAGATCTATTTTTTCGATTCTTTTAATATACTATAATTTCAGATTAAACGACTTACTCATTGCTTATTGGAGAAAAAGAAGAAATTATCTGAACAAAATTGTGCAATAAATGCGAAGCTAGAAAATTCAACGAATCAATTTTCTGGTATAATATGTACTGTGCGTTATTTTTCTATAATCTTTTCAGAAAAATGAAGCTTTAAATTTGTCATACTGATTACGGTTTTTACATATTTTATAAATATATATATATAAGAACTGATAAAGATAACAAGAACTCTTTTCCCAGGCCTCTGTTCTGGTAGAATGTCTCTAGAGGTTGAGAATGATGATGACCATCCACGGAGGAAAAAGTTTGAGAACTTAGAAAAATGCCAGGAAGTGAAAGGGAAACTAGAGAACCTGCGGAAAGTGAAGGTCAAAGTAGTCCCAATGGAAGCATTAAGGTCTATGATCTCTAAACTCTAAACTAGAAAACTGTTTTCAGCAGATTCCGAGAACAACATCAGAGATCTCTTTCCAGAAGAGCGCATTGTTAAGAATAGCTAAGATTTTGAACTCTTAAGCTTCCAAGTTTCTGATGTAGGGTCCGAGGTGCGCCATAAGATGTGAAGAAAGAATTTTTTTGAACTTTTATTTTAATGAACTCTGCTTTAGGAAATTGGAGTTCTGACGGAAATAACTGGTGAGGAGCTGGAGAGAAAAAATGAATATATGTTGTCATATTCATCATTCATTACAAATTTATACGAATTTACTTCACGTTGGCTATATGGATCTGCCATTTGTCGAACTGATCACGGGACTTTTATTAAAAAGTAAAAGTAAAAAGTGATTTATCTCCACCAGTATGAATATTTATTTATAGGACTGTTTGATCTTCATTTTACAGAAATCAAATTGTTTTCTCAGACTCAGATCTCGAAAAACTCTTGCAGCAGTTGATTCAGATCCAAAACTTATACGAAGAGCGAGTGACCAAATTGACATCACAGATTAAGAGCAACAATCTTTTAATGAAACATTTTGCAAATCAGGATAGTAAAATGTTTGCTTATTATTAAGTTTCTCTTGTTTTAACTTAACCTATCGGTTTCTTTAATTTTTTATGCAAATATTTTGCCCTTATCATTGATTCTTTATATTTCATTCGGTTTGTTTGCAGGCATGGTCGACCATCTTCATTAAAACAGTCTGAATATCTTATATCAGTTTTACCAGTAGCTGCAAAATTCACAGGTGTGAATTTTTCAACATTGAATCAGAGATTGTAGAATACTCAACTTTTAAAATCCTCTGAAGATATAAAATTTTCGTTTTATTCGACATTCGATATAAAATGATCTTTTCAGAATTGGACATTCAAAAAGAATTATCTTACATAAGTTTTGAACGAATGAGCGATTCAGCACATTTCCTTGTTCATATTTTCAAAAAGCTGATTCAGCATGGTGATAAAGTAAAGAAATTTTTTGTAACATTCTTAAAATCGATCATTAAAAAAAAATTTTAACATTTTTTAATACTTTTAGCGCCGATTTTTATTTTTAGAGCGCTGATCTTAACTTGGCGTTGAATATGGCTCGTAGTTTACGTTCACAATTATATATCCTTTGGAAATGCTCAGGTAATGCTGAATCCATAAAAGAAAATGTGGCATCATTTTCAGAGGTAAGCTTAGTGCCGAAAAATTATATTATAGAAAATTTTCAGTTTTCAATATTTTTCATTTTTTTCGCTATAATTTGTCGTAATTAAACGTGTTAATACTGAATATTTATTTATTTATGAGAATGAAGTAGGATATAAGGCCATGTATTAATTAATTGATCGTTTTTGTCATTTTTTATCATTTTTTTGCAATACAACGAATTTTATTGATCGAAAATATTTTAGATAGGTTCGCTGAAAGAACAAAATGTTCGTTTACAACTAGCACTAAATGATGCTACTGAATTACTTAAAATTGCTGAGGAGAAACTAAAATTCCAGGTCAAATCTTGATTTCATGATCATTGCAAATTTTAGGTTTTTTAGTTCTTTCTAATTAATTAAATTAAATTAAATAGTAAATATTCCCTTTTGTTTATGCAAAACATGTGATTAAAATCGTGCTCTTCAGCCAGAATCGAAAGTTGTTGTTTGTGATCGAATAGCCCAAGAAATGAGCAAAATACATGAAGTTTTGAAGGATGGAAGCAAGATTTTTCGCTCTTTCAAAAAAAAAGCACCAATTTCAAAATGAAAGCTGTATTACTTTTTTATCCATTTTGTTTTTTATAAAAAATTAAGATTTCTAAAAAACTACTAGAACTACTAGAATTTGGGTAAATTCGACAGTATTGCTGGTAAGATCTTTTATAGTTCATCATAAGGAGAATTTACTTTCCAAGTTCATTATATATTGTATAGCATTCTTCAGTAAATTTTTTTTTTCTTTTCCCGCAGTAAAAATCAAAATTTTGTTGGTTTCAATGAATATACGAGAAGAAAAAAACAAGAAAAAGCCAGTTGAACCTATATAAATTTCATTAAAAAATTTCATCAAAAACATTAAAATTTGACTTGATATTTCAGTAACAAATATCTCGTTTATTTTATTTTTTTTATTTTTGGGACATTTCGATAAAATATTGTGTAATGTAAAGCTGGATGAGTTGGTTTAAGCAGTGCGAAATTTAGCGACTAGATTAGATGCAAATTGGAATTGAAAGTGTAGTGTAGTGTGAGCTGCATTTAAGTTGGTACAGTCGAATCAGTTAGATGAGTAGAGCCCGAATTGATTAGCATTAAATTGTTTTTAGGCAAACGTGATGCGTTTCAACCTGGCGATGATGAACATGTTGAGTTGATTGAAGCCATTCTTTGTTGTTTCAGCCGTTCTTGTGCCATAGGGAACTTGGTTTTGAAGAGATTAAGGATTGAAGATTGGAGATTGGGTTTTTAAGAGCTTCATTTTTATTTTTAATAAGAATGGGGATTCTATAGATAATATAAAAGTGTTAATGTTAAGTAAAAATATAAATATAAAAACAAGTAAAACTGCATAAAACATTTATAAAAAACTGATAATGTTGAAATTTATTGAAGTTCGAATTTTGGTTTATATAAATTTAATTTTATATACTTTTGGCTTATATAAATTTGTACAAGATGCTTTGAGAATCTTTGAGAATTTGCTGCCGTTAGTTATCAGAAATTTCTATTTTAAACTGATTTGTAATAATTCATTCAAAATAAAATATTTTATCATATCGCTTATCCCATCAGCATGCTATTAATTTGCGTGAGATGAATTATTACTTTTAGATTAATCTGAAGAAAATTTTGTGTGAAGTGGGTGAAAAGAATTGTAATGGACCGAGAGGCAATCTAATTACTGGAGTGGATCTAAAATCCTTATTATCGATAATTCTTTCATTTAATAATTAATTTAATTTCACACGGACAGTATTTAGATGGTAGAGAAGAGAAAAACCACAGTAATTTTTCTAGTTAATTATTTTTCAATAATTTACAAATCATTTTATTTTTGGATATATATTTCTCAAAAACAAATTAAATTATAAAAATAAAAGATTATAAAATGAAAAAGTGAAACAAAAAAGATGAGAGAATAAACCTGAATTGCACCATGACTTGTTTAATTTTAAAAATTTATAATGACTTTTGTAAAATAAAAACTCACAAATTTTTCTTAATAAGCACATTATGAATGAATTAATACTATAAATTGCCAAAATAGTCATGTAAGGTGCAGTTCAAGTAGATATAGAAAAGAAAATGAAGTTTTGCTCATCTTTTTTGCATAATTATGATATATATCTTAATTTTGCGATGTGACTGATGAAACTTATGGACAAGCAGAATGATTTGTTGAAAATTATCAAATTCTCAAATATAAAAAGGACCCAAGCGGTTGGGTCCCAATATTTTAATATATACTTCTTTATGCAAGATCCTTTATTTTATTTGTTTATTTCTTATTTGCTTTTGGGATAGTTTTTTATGCTTTGGATTTATTTTATATCGAATAAGATTGTTTTTTCTTACCAGTATGTAACAGGTTTGATTACCCAAGTTTGAGGTGAGAAATGAAATTTTTTTTGATGCGTGCGTTGATATTTTAATATTTCTACTACTGTCTACTACTTTCTAAACATCTTCTAAACGGGCGGCAGGTGTGCATTATTCTTCTTCTAACAGCTCTCACCATTACGGTTAAAGCTGGCTACAAGGGTAACGCTTCCAAACGCCGCAGTCTGATGCCATCATCGACAGTAATAGAAGCCATTTATTTTTCCATCGTCTAAGTCCATATATTGCTGGTCCACCTATACGTTCAAAATCTTTTCTGATCGTATCAGTCTAGGTCTTAATTGGCCCATCTCGCTTTTGACGCCACCCATCACACTATTTAGCATGTAACGAAATACCGACAACTCCTATGATGGACGACCCCTAACTAGCGAAGATGTTCTTGATAACAATTATTTATGCAAGTGGTTTTTGAACGAAGGTGGAACGATCATGTGATTTTTATTCGCTCGATGGATCCGTAAAATATACCTTAAACAAGAGTGGTCAAAGGCAAATAACTTAATATCCTCCACTATCATTGGCCATCTCGGAGCCATATAGCATGATCGAACGAATCACGGCTATATAGATGCGGACTTTCGTTTTTATGGTGATTTCACGACGGCTCCATAAAGGTTTCGTCAACCGGAAGAATGCATTTCTAGCTGCCGTGATCCGGGTTGTAATATCGTCTTTTGCCTGGCCATTTGTTATGATCTAAGGTATTTAAAATCACATACTTCCTCAACCGGTGATAAATTTATAAAGAGGCATTTTATCAGCTTCTTGCACATAAGACGAAAATGCGAGCAATTGAGCATTATTCCGCTGCAGTGAATTCAATTATTTATTATTATATTTTTTTACAACTATTTTTTCAACTCATGTCCGTCAAGGTTGCGATCTTTTCTCTACAATATGTGATAGACTGGATAATGCTCACCGCTACGTCGTGATGACTGGCAAGATATATATATATATATATATATATTTATTGCACTCATTTTGTTCTTCCCATTGAGCTGGCTGTTCAAGAATTATTTTATTCTTTGGTGGTATTTGGTTGTTGCTATCTTCCTTGCACCTTTATCGTGTCCATATTACCATGCGACTAATATTAAGATAATTACGGGTAATTCGTATGCTATATGTCCTTCCGCTCATTTCCACCCTATCAGTCCTAATTATTTTCACTCTCCCATCCGACCGCATTTTTCAAGTCTGGATAACATCGCAATATACTCATAATTCGTGAATGGGCGAGTCTCTAATGTCTCGTTTTTATCATATAACTTGATATCATCCATGTAAAGAACATGTATGATGACATTTTCGCTCTTGATCTTGATCTTGTATCCATATCCACTTCTGGTGATTATCTGACTGGGAGGGTTTAGACCTATACAAAGACGCAGCAGGTATAATATCACCTTGATGTATGCGGCACTTGATATTCCCTTGTTTGTTTTAAGTTGAGATTTCAAGCTTTTTCCACAGTCACATTAAATTCTTGATGGTCTCGAAGATCCTCTGTTATATAGAGCCTATTCATAGATCCATGTGCGGGGCATTAAATCATAGGCGGTCAACCGCGGCTGTGCGCACTTTGGTCTATCGAAACCTTGAGTGCTTTTCCTATGAGCAGCTGGTGCTTTGAGCCTCTGGTGTTATTCCCAGTGGCATAACAAGCTGAACTAATATACTGGCTCCTATGGTAGCTTGATGGCTATTATGCTTAAACTTTTTGCATTATGGGGAGGATTTTTTTTTTAAGAGTCCTCACCATTACTGGTTAAACTCGCTCCACTGGTTTGTCGCATTGGGCAATACGCCAGGGAATCCCTTGGCGATAGAAATACAGGTGAGTTGCCATCATGACCTGGACTTTTGTACAGGTTCACTTCTGTGGGGAATCGAATCTCAGCATCGGCGCTCCCAATTGAGCAACAACCCACTGAGCCATTCTATATGGGGGAGGTTATCTCAGTGATTGGGTAAAGTTTTTTCTTCTCCTTATCCAGTCTTTCATGACCATAATTTTCCTTTGCTAACACTGTGCTAATCAGTCAAGATGAGAGCCTGCCGCAAGCAGTTAGTTCATCCGTATTGATAGGCATTCATTGATAGACCATTATTCTTTAGGCAGCAGATGTCAGGACTTGGTGTTTAGCTTTTCATGTCTTTGATGACTCACAATTAGATGTCTACAACTAGATATGATGGTAAATGGTTCCATATAAACATATATATTTTTGAAGCATATTTATTTTATTTATTCATATATTTATTTTAAAAAAGTCTCAAAAATAAAGAATTCGATTAAATAAAAATTTATTTCCTATATCCTATCTATGTCTAAATATATTTATACAGCCTCGACCAGATTCTCCTCTCGGTCCATTACAATTCTTCTCTAACTGATAGCTAACGGCAGCAAATTCTAAGGCATCAGCATCTTGCATAAAAATTTATATAAACCAAAATTACAGACATTCGAACTTCAATTCATTTATTTCATCAATAAGATGTTGTCCTTTTTCTGTGGCACCAAAGTCAGCTAAAAGCGACTAAAAAAAAATTCATAATTTATTAAGTGATCAACCAGAGTATTTACTGGAACTAATGATGGCTGGCTATTCGAAGAAAAAATATGAAAGAAAAGAGGAAAAGGCGAATATAATGAAACAAACACCTGAAGGAAATCGGCCGTATCACTCAGCTTTTTAAATAACTTTGAGCAAATCAATTTGAAAAGATTCACTTTCGTTTTCGTATTGACAAGAGCTTCACTTAAAACGAGAGATTGATTGAGTAAATCAGTTGCAGTTAGATTTATCTAAACAATAGTATTTATTATATAATAATTATATAAAGTTTATCACGACTACTAGAAGAATAATGTCAAAATGATAATCAAATGATGCCGAAAATTTATAGAAAAAGCGAAAATTACAGGTTCAAACGGATCATATTTTATTAATGTCGTCTACAAGTGATTTTGCACCCTGAAATTGGTAGCGGATTTTCAGCTTTGGCAACTATACATGCAATTTATTCAACACGTATAGCAATACCATCTAATGGGGCTAATATTATAGATATGCACAATAAACATATCTATATAGATTTGCCTCTCGACATCGAGGAGCAAAATTATCGTTGCCATGTCTAGGCGGGATTCGGACTTAGAGGCATTCAGTCCGCACCATTGGCCGGATTACTAAGCAGGATTACTATCGCACAACACATCACAGTAGGGTAAAACTAACTTGCCTCACAACGGCCTAGACCCAGCTCACGTTCTCTATTGGTGGATGAACAATCCAATCTGGTGAATTCTGCTTCACAATGATAGGAAGCTTGGCTGCCACAAGCCAGTTATCCCTGTGGTAACTTTTCTGTATACAGTGATTGACACATAATCAATTGTAAAAAACAATAATACTCATAAAACACTTTTTAATTTTTAAGCAATATTTGCTTCATTTAAAGTAATTAATTTGTCGTTGCTTAAAATGAAACAAAAAATTTTGAAAAAATCTTTCGCTGTAATTTTAATCGGCGAAATTATTTCTTCTTTTGATTTTATGGATAATTACTTTGTTTTTCGGATAATTGTATGTAATTTATAATTGATCGCAGATATTAGAGAGGAAAATAAAATTTTTGGAAAACTGGTTCCCTTTATTAACGCAAATAATGATTCATCTCAATGTTTCGTTTGTAAAAACTTCAAAAAGGAAATACCAAATGTTATAAAGCCATATAAGAGTAACATAACTGAGTGGAAAGCGAATTATAATATCGTATAATATTGAGAGGTGCAAGGGTCCAAATCCAGTCCTCAGGAGATGTATCAAAAAATGGGTTGGCGCTCGCGACTCATCTGCATTTTTATCTATCGTATAGTGAGTGACGACTCATTGGCCAAAACTTCGTGCTAACAGCAGACAGAAATAGCCTATCCAGAAATGGTGAGAGCTACACTTGCTTTAATAAATATGCAATCATTTATGAAAGAATATAAGCTAAAAATCCCGACTTCTTATAAGATTTTTATTATTTTTGGCTATCTTTTGTAAATGTCAAGATTTGTCCACTATTAAATTGGCGGAAAAGCTCATTTTCATTCGCTTGATGTCCTTTATAGGAAAATTTTTATTATTACACTTTTGAAATGCTCTTTTTATTTATTGCATTATTATTGTATATGGTTCCAACTTTTCAACTTATTTTCCGCCAGTTTTAGCCACCTCCGCATTTTGCTCTCATACACAAGTGATCTCCAAGCATTTCACACACTTTCGCTTTTAATGAAATGGTTTACTACGAGTAAATGAAAAGAGAACAAATAATCGGTGTTGCTCGTCTTTAACTATAACTATAAATATCATTAGTTATATGAGGAGTAGCGCTCGATAATAAATGGATTTTGTTGCCCAACCGACCTCTTATTAAAATTCTAGTTTTTGGAAAAATTCGGAGCGTGGTATCGTCTCATTGTTTTGCAGTAGTTAGCATTTAATTCGAAATATTTTTGCATCTGCGTTCAATTCAATTCCTATGACTCAGTCAGTCAGCTGTTAAATTTATATTACTGCAGTAATGACGATAACAACTTTTTCTTTTCATCAATATTATTTATCTATAGACATAGTTTTAATCTTTTTATTTCATCAACAACAAACGAGCCATTCCAGGAAATTTCTGGAAAATTGATCCGGGTAAACGACTGATTCAACGCAATAATTGCGTGGAATTCCTTGTGTTTCTCTCATATCCATCTTATTATTTTATTAGTTTAGAGTATCACTCGCTAAATTTTTAAGATAAAGTTTTATGTTGTATGATTTTCAGATTTGCGTCACTTTATTTCATATTTTTATATTTGGGTGTATCGGTGGCAAGATAATTATCACGCAGAACCGAGAAAGCAAAAGGGGTTAGAGGTTAGGCTAGTGGATTGTTGCTCAGTTTGGAGCGTCGTTACTGAGATGCTACGCCATGCAGAAATAAACCCGTAATTCTAAAATTCGTATATATTGTTGGCGACCTGTATTTATTTCTGTCGAGTGACTCTTATAAAATTTGTCTGAGAGGTAAGCCGACGAAGTAAGTCGAGCTTAATTAACAGTAACAAAGTCTCTTAAAGAGGAAATATTTTAGCCTTCAAATCTTTCTTTTCGCTTCATCTACAAGTGGAGCGGACCCAATCTGCAGTACTGGTGATGTCAGAAAAAGAAGAATTCTGTCCTTTTGTTTTTCTCTTACCGCAGGAAAGCACCGCTTTCATTCATCGAGCTAAAATTAGTTTCAATAATTAGTTTAAATGTACAATATTTTACTAAATTAATATCTTATGAGGTAAAAATTCCAGCAAAAATCAGAATCAGAATCAAAATTAGAATCGCTTGAAAGCATATTCGGAAACTATGAGAAACTCTTGGAAAGATTTATAAGAATTATTGAAAAAATAGAATTTTATAATAAATATTGATAGAAATACAAAAAAAACTTCGAAAGTAAATCGGAAGTAAAAACTGATGATAAAATTCAGTTTGTTAAAAAACAGATATCTAAAAGAGGCACTGTGAATCCATCCATACTTCCATCCACAAATATCCGCTCTCTTGCGGAAAGGTCCAATTTCATTTCGGTAATCAGTGGAGCCAGTCAGTGATGGTGAATGCAACTTGAAGACAGTTTAACTAGGGGAGATAATAATTAAAAATGCGGTCTTCAACTCATTCTTTCTCTGTTTTATTTCGCTATTTTCTCATCTATCAAATTCAAACGCAACCGATTTATTTATTTTTATTGTCTTCGAAATTTCCTCCGAACCGTGGTGATTTTTGCTTCTTCTTAAAATTGTGTATTTTTAATATTTATGTTCTGAAAGGTTTCGCTTGGAGAGAAATTTTCGTAGGCGTCGATGACTAATGCGATAATGTTTTTACCGATTATTCACTTGATAATAGTTATTTTTTTTCTCTTTTTTGGCAATTTATCATCTAATAAATATGGTTTTATATGGTTTCGAAATAGCAAATCGTATATGTTAGTTGCGCTATTGGAGGGCCTAAATTGATTCAGTATTTTTTATATTTTCGTTAATTTTATCGAATTTTTAGGCCATTCAGTCGTTGAACTAACATTTGATGTATAAATTTATCTCTGAAATCATAGTCACTTTTCTGATTTTCATAACCTTTAAATCATCGACTTTTTAGTTAATAAAAAATTCTGGCGAAAAAATGGCTGAAATTGGTATCAATACACGCTACTTAAGCAGTAATCGTGGCATAATAAAAATTATACAAATAGTACTTGGCTTCATTATTTGTTCGTTGCTGTGCGCTTCCTGGTAAGTAATTTTAGCAATTCCTGTAGAAATTATTGTACATTAAACCTCTCGTAAATCACAATTATAAATCGCGAGACCTACATTGGGTTATAAGAGCGAGTGATAAGAGGGATACAACTTCGAGAAATGTTGGAATCTATTCGGTGATATGTACGCTATTATTTCTGGTTGCCGTGATTCTTATAATATGGTTTATTATTGAAATGAATTCAAGCCGAACATCGCTTGGATGAAAGAATGATCGGAGGAAGGAAGGGCGGACAGCAATTATTTTGCCATAAATGAATCGTATATATAATAATCGTATAAATCCCTTGAAAAAGTTATTTTGTCCAATGTTTCTGTGGGACAAATGAAGAATAAGTGAATATGCATTTTATAACAACGCTGAAATAGAAATGATATCAGTTTTAAGATTTTAATGGAATGTTCACGAAATCTTTTAATTAATCTCGTAAATAAATATTTGAGTGCATAAATATTCAGTGGTGTGAATAAAATTTTGTTCAAATTTCTGTAAATTGAAGGGAAAGTTTAGGCATGGTGGACGTTCATGTTTTGGCGAAGGCCGACTCGGATATTGTTCTAGCTTAAACTTCATCGTTCTTGTCATCAATATCGTTCTTTTTGTTCTCAATTTCCTGAATATCATTGCATGGCGACTAGTATGATTAAATTGTATTCAGAAAATAAAGAAAATAAATAAAATGGGATAAAAATTGTGAAATCGATAGTGGTACTCAAATTTCAGGAAAGAATCTATTCGGTGATATGTACGCTATTATTTCTGGTTGCCGTGATTCTTATAATATGGTTTATTATTGAAATGAATTCAAGCCGAACATCGCTTATCATTACTACTGTAATTATTTGATTTTTAAAAACCAGTTCATCGATTGAGAATTTTCAAATTTATTTCACTTCACCTTAGCCATTAATTATTTTCAAAAATAATTCGGAAATCAAGTAGCAGAATAGCTGAGTGGATAGCAGTTTAGATTACAACTGAAGGAATACTACAGCTCCTGTCCTGCGGGTGGTGCTGTCGGCCTGTCTACACTTCTATCGCCAAGAAATTACTGAGCAAAAATTTCTAACAACCTAGTGGAAATGATTACAGCTAATCACTTATATGTTTGTGAGATTTCGATGCGATTATTATAATTTTTTTATAATAAGAGTAACCAATGACCATTGTCATTAAAAATAAATAGATCTACCTATACTTCTCGAGTCAATCAAGTTCTTAAGAATTTTTTGCTGTAAAATGTAATATTTCAGATCTGCTTAGTCAGTGAATTCCTATTATTCCTGTGGGACGTAAAAATTCTACAAGGAGAAGCTTCAAACTAAAATTTTGATATTTTTCATTGTTCAATTACTCCTTTTATTTTTTTTCTTAGTTTACTATTAAATGACCCATTTTTTTCCAAATATTGGTCAAAATTTTGAAATTGTACAATTTTTTATTCTTTTTCTTCCCTTTACAATATCCACGAAAAAGCCAAAATTTTCATTTTTCCACTTTTTAAGATAGAATATAAGATAATTTTTATGGAATATATTAATTAGCCAGCAATAAACTGTCCGGTCCATTAAGCAAAGTAAATTTCCAAGACTTGAGTATGATATGCATGTATATAGAACATGTTGATTCTCATAAAATTTTTTATTATCATAAAATTTATATTTTTATTTGGAAATTTATCACCAGTTTTATACCAGTAATTTTTCGAATAAAATATTTTAAAACGAATTGTCAGATGAATATATAATTTATATTAGAAACAAAACGAGTAAGGCCATTTGCTCATGTAAAAAATGAATGTTTTAAGAAAATAAAAGAAAGGAAAGTTTAAAATTATTGGTAATGTTACTTATTGGAACGAAAACAAGCAAGAATTGTTCTACTAAAAAAATGAACTGAGAATGCATTTCTTCAAAATGATACCATGAATAATTTTTAATTTACTTTTAAAATTAGATACAGATGGTGCAAACCACATCAGCTTATGCGAATAGTTAATGCCAAGTAAGAAAAAATATGAGCCATGACTGGTTTTAATAGGTTTGCGCATCTAAAATCCATTATCCTTAATAATTTTTAAGTTTAAAAAAGAATTTCGTATAGTCCAGATCGACAAGACCGAAGAGTATAAGTACTTCATAAGAATATAAGAGGAGTAACAGAAGAAATGACACTATATTGGGGAAAGGTCTGTGGAATATGGATAGGAGAGAACTTCTTTACATATTCATTTTTATAAACTGATTCTTGGTTGTTATGCATAATACGATCATTTTTATTGTCCAGTGCTGATTATCGCATTTGTTATTCTTAGTGGACTGGTTTTTTACGGTAATTCTGCTCACTACAGCAATCGCTACGCAAATTTTAACATGCAACTGTGAATCAACCTCACAATAGATTAGCAAACAGTTAGTACAGCCTTCGAATGAATGAAGGTCTGGTTTTGACTTGAATCGAGAGGCTTTATCCTTGTACCATTTTTTTCGCCGCACTTATTCATCTTTCATTTTTCATTTCGAGCAAAAATTCATTCCAGAAAGCGTCATTTCTGTATAGAATAAGTTGCGAACAACAGACCTAAATGTGTTTTCATCAAACAATAAATTCATGCAGTACCCATTCTTTTTTTTGTTCCCCAATGAAAAAGGTAATTCCACACGGTGCGAGTAAAAAGCTAAGTTTTTGCATAATTCTGCTAAATCTGCATAACTCTTTCCGACACTGCAGCCTGCACAATTTCCTTCAGAGATTTATTTGCGAAATTTGAGCGCGGTGGTCCACAAACTGAAGCCTCTTCCAGATTTATGCCTGCAGGATCTATGTCTAAATCTTCACAAACCAATCTTTTCTCGCAACGAAACTTACCATAAAAGTAGCAAGGAGTTGAGTAGTGATATTCGCGAATCCACTTAATTCCCTTTAAGTAATTTAGGAAGGTGTCAGTCAACTGAAATATGGAAAAATTTTTTGTTATTTGGAAATTTGGAAGTTAACGAAAGTATTTCTTAAAATATTTTCATATTAACGAAACATTTTGAATATAAGGAAATTCTAATCAATCAAATCTTCCTGAGAATTGAGAATTATACCTATAAAAATCACTGGACCTAAGTATCTTTTGATCATACAAATAAGTGGCCACCATCCACTATTTCTGGCTAAATTCACTCCTCTAACATTCATTCGAACTTTTTCTTCACTTTTTCACAAGGAATCACTTTACAATACAAGTGCAGAAGTGGGCCGCTAGCCGCTAACTGAGTTACTAAGAAATTTTTAAAATCGTTTAAAATTTTTTTCTCTCATTTTTTTATCTTGAAAAAGAGGGGGAAGAGCAGATTTCTATTTGTCTAACTGGTTTTGATTCATGATATCTTCTTGAAATTGTTATTACTATTATTTTCACTCATTAATTTATTGATTTTTAATAATATTATTATCACTATTAATATTATCGCAGTGTGCAAAAACTGTGTGGCATAACAATCGTATTGATTGACATTCAGACTAAAAAAAAGCATTGCTCGAGATCGAACTTCGGAGGTAAGAAAGTAAGGAATTATTTGATGAAAATTTTCTTTAAATATTTTACCAATTGTTTTTTTGTATTTGAAAATCAATTTTACGTGGATGCAATAAAATTTTATTTGTTTTTTCAATTAATTAAACTTTTCCTAAAAAATACTCGAAAAAAAATTATCTGTGCTTATTATTGCAAATCACCTATTTATGTCATAAAAAAGTTTTTCAATGAATTTATAGACATTTTCAAGTTTCTAACTGGCACTATCATGTAATATCAGAATCTTGTGATATCAGAATTGGTCGCCAGGCTACGTGCACTGATCTGATATAACCTGATAAAGCCAATAGAGAAGCTCGCATGTAATCCGAGCCTTTCTGCTATCTAACAATACCTGAAAATCTCGGTTAGAGGTTTTTTATTGCGTACAGGAAATGTTTATTAAATATTTCGTTTCAATCGGAGATAGAATGGCTCAATGGGTTGTTGCTCAATTCCGAGCGCTGATGCTGGGATCCTACTCTACGCAGGAGTAAACCTGACCAAAAATCCGAGCGATTCACCTGCATTCCTATCGCCAAGGGGCTCCCTGGCATATTTGTCCAGTGCGACAAGCAGAGCAGCGAGTTCAACCAGTAATGGTGAGGATTGAAAAAAAATTATGTTCCAATTATAGATATGCAATAGATAACGAGTGATAAAAATGAATTAAATGCGTGCAATATGTCGAATGAACGTTTCAACGGTTGGGCGTATTTACCCGATAATCTACTCGAAGAAATATTCTTCTTATTGCCTATAAAGAATATTAGTCGATGCTCTCAGGCATTTTTATTTTATTTAATTTAGAAAATTTTTTCAAAAATTTCTAGAAGAAATTTAGAAAATATGAGAATTTTTAGTTCGACAGTTAAAAAAAAAGTGAAAAAAAGTGAAGTAAAAAAAAGTGAAATAAAAAAATTTTTCCAAATTTTTTCGAAGGAAGGAAATGTAAAATCCTCACTTAAAGAAATAGAAGAACTATTTTATTTCTTTTAAAGGTCTGTTCAAACTGGAATCGAATCGCGAAATCGAAATATGTTTGGCAGAAATTTAAATTTAAAGATTATGCTTTTACCCGACGAAAGTTCACTTCACACTACGGTTGGCAACACGTTATTGATCACTGGAGATTAAGGTCTTAACTTCTGGATTTCGTACTCCTGGATCATTCATCACTAACGCTTTTGATCATCTTCCAATAACTCTTAAAGTTAGTGGTTTGGCTGACTCTGCTGGTTACAAGGATGAGGTGTTTTTAAGTCTGTCGATCCGATGCGATCCCTGAAATTAGCAGAATCCATTCCTTTCTCCACCAGTCTTTATATTTAAATCTCTTTTGACCAATTCAGGTCTTGATTTTTTAATCGTTTACTTTTACTTTTTAAACTAGAATTTTCACTCATTATAAACATGATCTAAGCTTGAAATCCTATACTTGTATCAAAAAATGAATAAATCTTTCATAATCCTTTAAATTGTTCACAAAAATAGTAATATTTTTAATCTGAGAACTCTGTCCACTTCCATGTAATCATAAGTGACCCTCTTGCCGAAGTGATTTCGATGATCGCATCCTAAATAGCCAATGCAGCAGCAAGCCAAATAAGAAGTGGTGTATGCCGTTATAAGAAAGAAAGAATTATCAAAACGCCAAATTTAAGATTGCTTATATTGAATGCCGCAGAAAAATGGAGAAAACTTGAAGTGGAACCTGTCACAATCCTTTTCAATTTATATGAATTTTTTCGAGTTTTAATCAATTTCGCTGAATATTATGAGAAAAATACGACTTATCGGCCATTAACGACAATAAGGTCATTCTCGTTCAAATGGCAACTTCATATTCATCAACGGGGAGAGGATCAACGAGAGCAAGTTAGTCTCGAATACTGTGTGCCACGGAACCACTCTTTGAATCTCAAAAAACAAAAAACAAAAAAAATCTGACTTAAAAGTGCCATGACTGATTTTCTAAATTTTTTTCGAAATTGCTTGGTTTGATTTGCAGATGTTTGGAACTGGTGGTGAGATGCTTAAGGCTTTATCACTTTTATTATCATATTTGCATGGACTTACTGATCTAACTTTACGTGAATTACAGTTGGAATCGTATGAATGTAATAATTTCATTGATGATGTAAATATTGATTACATTTATATATTTAAAATCTTATCTTATAAAACCTTTAAAATTTTATATTTTCATCTTCTGAAATCGCTCACCATCTCTACTTTAGTTTCACCGGCTGCTAATCATTATCACCGCATGCATCTCACCTTTAATGACGATTTATTTACGACAATAGAAGTAATATGACACTCGATTCTACTGTACATGACATACATTTTAAAACATAAAATATTCACGAAGCATTTTTTCTAATTTTTATCATTAAAAGAGTATTAAAATAATGATAATTAGACTTGCCCAAATGAAATAATTTTAAATATAATTGAAATATAATTGAAAATTTTTGACTATTTGGGTGTTAATTTTAATATAAACACATTATTTTCATCATTGCCTTCAAATTCAAGAAGGAATTTCATTGATCATTTTACCTTTACCAGATGTACTGTGTGGTAGATCCTGCAAGCTACTCGCTAAGGAGACGCTCTATGATAGCACTGTTAATGCAAGTGCGACAGTGGATGCAATCGTATGAGATTTTATTCACTCGGCGAAATTGTAAAATGTACGTTAGACATGAATGGTCAAAAGCAAATAATTTCTTAATATCCTTTACTCTCATCACCGATATTTCGCAGCCATATAGCAAGATTGAGCAAATTGCTATATAGACACGAACTTTCGTTTTTATAGTGATTTCGCGACGGGTTTCACCAATCGGAAGGACGCATTTCTGCCTTTACCAGAGTTAAAATTTTGTTTATTGCTGGCAAGTTTGAGATTAGAGTGGATCGAAGTTATTTAAAGCTTAAGACTTCTTCAGTCGATGATGAATTGATAAAAATAGGTGTTTTTATGAGCTTCTTGTAAATAAGACGAAAAGATTTTCCTACAGCATTACTACATGAATAATATCAAGTTATATGGTAAAAGCGAACGAAATATTAACTCGCTCATTCATCTAACATGAATCTACAGTGAGACCATTTGGATGCCATTCGGACTAGGACTATAGACTAAAGAGAGAGAAAATAATTAGGACTGAAAAGATGAGAATTATCAGAAGGGCATATGGCATTCGGACTAATTGCGATTATCTTGTCGCCTGTATCCCATAGCCGCATGGAAAACACGATAAAGAGGCAAGTCAGGCAACAATTAAACACCAAAGATTAAGGAAACAGTCAGTTCAATGGGAAGAACAAAATCCATGCTATAAATATGTATGCTACGTCTTTACGCAACTAGCAAAGAAAGAAAACATGGAGGCTGCTGATGTGAAGACCTAGAAACTTCCCACAATACACGGATTGTACATTGTAATACATAATGGTAAAATCTTACTTGGATTGTATATATGCGTTTGCAAAAAAAAATTAAACCATATAGAAGGATTTTATATTTTATTAAGTTATGTTCTTTGATTCTTAATGATACAGAAAATCAATTTCCGATATTTCCACCACAAATCTAATATCCGACGATTGTACCAGCCGCAAAGGCGGCGGATGGGGCTTGGTGAGTATAAAAGCCACTATCTTCAAACCCGGAGCATTCAGTAATATATTAGAAAAATTGCAGCGAAGGATGAACTGCTGAAAGAATGCCTGAAGCATCAACAGACATTGGAGAAATACCATGGTAAAGCAAAACTTTTCATAGAATGTTCATCGACAGATAGCTGAAGTGGTTGATATTGAAAAATTCTACTAATGGTTGGAAGTACCAGTTGAACAAAAAGACAGTATTGATACACTGGTCATAGTAGCATAAGAATAGGCACTAACAGGTATCAAATCCATCGAAAGAGGAATCTACCACACCAGACAGGACTCAAAGTGCAGATTGTGCAAAAATGCCTCAAAAAAACATTGTCCAACATAAAATGACAAGATTTAAAATGTAAAGGAAAGGCATAACCAAGTAGCTAAAAGAATTACCTACTCATTACATCGTTTAGATCCCATGATCAAATGGAAGATTCCACATAAAACTGTAGAGAATAATAAAGCCATGCATGATACCGTAGAATTTCCTCATTGAGATAACAGGGCAAAGAATTGCTGGCCTATTAACCAGATACTGCGATAGCAGACAAGAGGTAGAAATCAACACTGGTGACAAATATAGCAACACCATGTGACCTTTTAGGAAAAAGGAATATGAGTAGAGAAATATCGAGAACTGAAAGAGGAACTAGAGTACCTGTGGAAGATAAAGGCCAAGGTGGTGATGAGAAAAGTAGAGGCTGTGGCCCTTAAACTGGAAAAGTGCCTCCAAAAGATTCCTGGAACAATTAGAGATTTCTGTCCAGAAGAGCGCACCCTTAGGAATAGCTAAGCTACTATTTAATTAAAACTTTTAATTTGAAAAAAATTTGATTGCTGATGACCACCTCTATTTCTATAGTAGCTGAGCAAAATTTCTCAATTTTTTAAAATTTCTAAAAAATTCCTACTTGCTGGAAAAAATTTCTCAACTACTAAAAACTAGTAATTGATGAGTGCTAACCATTTATTCTAACCATTTTATTCTTATAAATAATGCTGAAGTCATAAAAAAAAAGCCTCAACAAATTATAATTTTCAGATATTATTCAAATTCAACCAACAATTGACATCTTTATGTATTGTAAATATAACAAAAGCAGCTCGAGCATTTCTACAGTTTGGGCTTTTTTTAAACTTAAAGCGTTTGGTAATATCAGCGCAACATCTCGATGAATCCATTGTTATTTTACTTGCTGATTTATACAATTTACAAGTACTTGTTTTATATCAGGTTTGGCATTTTAATTTTATTCGATGTAAGTAATGGCCATGTGCTGTATTACTTCGATTTCTTTTAATGACCAGTGGGGTTCAGCTAAATGAGAAATGGTAAGTGCTGTTAGAAGAAAAAGGACGATCTGCAAGGTGGCTGAATCCCTGATTTTTTCTCGTCAAATTTATTTTTTTAATAAATTCAGAATGAAAAAACTACTGGAGCAAAAGCGATCGATGCAAACACTTGGAGTTCATTTGCTAAGACTAATAAACATACTAAAATTTATTTAGTCCAATCAGGTGAAAAGAAATTTTCGAAATTTTTTAAAACTTTATTGATTTCGAGGAAATCCTTTTTTTTCAGATCTCTTTTTTCTTAAAAGCTAATTTGTTTGATGAAAAGAATAAGAAAATGGGAAAAATTAATTTTCTAAAACTTTGCAGGAAAATATCATAAAGATTTAATTTTACAACCAAAAGCACCAGTCTACGCAATTATACATGAAAAATCAACTGGTCAACTTACTAGTGAAACTGCACAGTTTGTTCGTTACTACTTTACAATTTATGTTTATATCTTTTTTTTAAATAGCATTCACCATTACTGGTTAAAATCGCTCCGCTGGTTTGTCGCATCGTACAAACGTGCCAGAGTATCCCTTGGCGATAGAAATACAGGTGTGTCGCCAGCATCACCCGGATTTTTGGACAGGTTTACTCCTGCCGGAAATAAAACCTTAGTATCGGCGTTCCGAATTGAGCAAAAACCCACTAAGCCATCCTGTCCCGCAATGTTTATATTACGATTTCAGTAAAGCATAAACATAGAATATATAATATATTTTATAATACATCAGTAATTGATAATCTCGAAAATTTTTTTTAAAAAGTTGATTCGTGATTTAGCCAATTCCTACCTTTTTTTAAAGAAATAAATCGAAAATCCTGGCAAAAATCCTTGGAATGAAAAATTTCGGAAGTGGAGAAATTCTGACGGTGAAAAACATCTATAAAAATCTTTCTCCAATTGTAAAAACTTAAACAGGACAGCCGAGTATATAGCGAATCTGATTATTGACAAATGACGGAAGATGCCATTAAAAAACTAAAACTGCCATTAAAAATCCGAGTAGTATCCATCTATACTTCTGTTGCCGGAAAGCCTTTAAATTTCTAATAGTCTAATAGTCAGGCTGGTCTAACCAGAATTAATGGCAGCTTCACAAAAAATATTCAGATAAATAAATGGAAATCTTTAGATTTGTAAGAATTACTCAGAAACTCTTCAATATTACATTCAAGAAGGACTTGAAAGACATTATCGCTCCAGAAGATTTGTCGACAGAGTGGATTTATTTTTAATACAAATGGCGATTTGTTGTTGTAAGTGCAAATAATTTTTCTAACAAATTATATCTCCTCGATAATTTCTTTCAAATATTATAATTCTTTATAAAGAAATGAAGTTATTTCATGAGAATTTCACAATATAAAGTTCATTCGAAAATATATCCGAAACGATTTCAGAAAATTCACCGTGAAATTATGCCGTTGAAAAATTTTTAAAAAAATATTGAAAATAACACTTGAAGTAAGAAAAATTCAGCCTTAATCCCTCTTTTTCTTCTAACAGCTCTCACTGGTTAGGCTCGCTGGCTCAAGGAAAAATATTTTCAAGCTGCATCTGGTGCCATCATCGACAGTAATAGAAGCCATTCCTTTTTCCTTCGTCTAAGTCATATATTGAGCGAACATAGACACAACCATGTAAGGCTTTATCAGGCGGACCTGTAAAATGTATCTTAAACATGAGGTCAAAAGCAAATAACTTCTTAATATCCTCCACTCTCATTGGCCAAGTTGGTCTCGCAGCCACATAGCAAGATCGAAATGCAGCCATACAGAGGCGCTTTCTTAAATAATGATTTGATGACGGCTTCATAAAGGATTCGCCAACCGGAAGAATATTTCTAATTATCGTTATCCTGGCTATAATTTCGTCTTTCGCTCGGCATTTTGGGATTAGAGTGGATTCAGGATACTTAAAATATGATGCTCCTTCAACCGATGATGAAATAATAAAAAAGAGAAAAACAGATATTTTACCAGCTTTTGGTATAATAACACGAAAAGCCTTTTTTATTTGTATTGAACATGAGTCCGATTCTCGCTGCATTTGTCGACATTACCTGCATTTCAGCATAACTGTCTAGCTATATACCTCTTTATACACCTCTTGAGTACTGTCAAGCGATGTTCATTATCCAGTCTATCGCACAGTTAAATATTTAAGGGGAAAGAACAACCTTGACAAATATCAATTCTTATTTCAGAAGAATCTATCAATTTCCCATGTACACAAACCTAAAGCCGATCGCCTTTAAAATGCCTAGTAAAATACCTCTATGAATCGAATGATCTCTATAACAAAATGCTACTCTATAAAATGAATCGAAGGCATCAGAAACAAGTGACGGTGGGTTGCCAATATTTAAAGGGATATTCTAATGCCTTCTCTAACATAGTTTTGGCCAGCAAAACAATATCCCAGTTTGAATCCAGTTTGGTTAAAGCACGTTCTGCTGTCTCGTACTGCTATAGGTCTATTCAGAAGAAAAAAAATGAAAAAAAAAAAAAATTTTCCCGAAAATATCGAGCAGACTGATTTCTCAATATAACAGTCTTGGCACCCTTCTTGGGAATTGGGAGCAGAAATTTCGCTTCAGTCATCTGGTATTATTTCTTTCTTCCATATCAGAGAGTACATTTGGTGAAGATGTGTTATGAATGACGATGGACAAATTTGAAGATTTTCAACTCGAAGACCACTTTCCACGGAAGTTTTATTTACCTTAAGCTTCTATATGACGGAGATTATTTCAATAAAAAGGACTATCGCTGATATTCTTATCATTAAGGTATCTTCCTGTTCCACTGGTGGTTCGTATGGTTCGACAAGCGACTTAGCTATCGTTACTATCCCATATCATTTCATTTATTGTTTTATAAAGAAGGCGGAATAGTGTCGCCTGAACAACCAGTCTTCATTTTCAAGGCCATATCGCTCCAACAACGATTTCTGTCCGTACTTCTGTAGCTGTGAATTCTTCGTAGAATCCGACAGAAAAAATTCCTGAGGATTTCTTAACATTCGTATCCTTTGGTAGTCTATTCGGAAATTTGAAGAGGACATAAGCCATATGGCAATTGCTTCCGACACTCAACTAGTATTTTCTATCATTATCTAATATGGAAGCTGATATGCCTTTAGTTAAGACCAGTATTTAATAGTCGTTCCAGAGATGTCACTGGTATTCATATCATTGAGGTACTTCAATAATTAAGTAATTCGGTTTGAAATGTATTATTGTCCGAACCTTTTAGTTTGATACAGTTGAATGTTTGCGAGTTGTCGGTTCTATATAAATCTTAACCATAACATGGTCAGATACGTGAAGTTTGCCCCTTTCAGTGCCGCGATAGGAACGATCTAGTAGGGAATTCTTCCAATAACGACTGACTAACGACTGTATAATCAATCTAGTTATTGGTTAACCGAGGAGTTCCACGTGATAGATGTTCGATGCGAGCATAGTAACAAAAAATTTATGCTGTTCGGCAAAGCCTTCTCCATTGGTGCACTGGATCTCGATGCATATTTGCCATTTATCGAATTCACAAAGCCGACATCGCAATTTAAGTGCGAATTTCAGATATCTTCAATTATGAACATGTCACCTTTCGGTAGAGATGCTGTTTATAGCTCTGCATAGAAATTATTCTTATTATGGTTATCTGCGCAAAAAACCTGAACATATATGATGATCGAGATATTGCAATTTTCCTTTGAAGTGACCATAGACCATATGGTCGTTTCAATTGCAACAGATCGAATAAAACATGACAATTGCTACACCAATTCGCACCCGAGTAATCCAAAACACCACGAAGATATAGCCAGTATCTCTGCTCTGAGCCAGGTTTAGTGAATATTCGAGACCCGAGCATATTTAGAAAGAATGGAAAGTGATCGCTTGGTTTGCAACGTCCGTGGGCGTTCTGAAGTTCCATGCTGCTACGGCTAATATCTCCCCGCTCAGAGCCATTTTCCTTGACGGATTTCGAGCAATTATCCTAGCTCACGAGAACATAATTTTTCCAAGCCTTGAGGTGGTTTAACTAAATCCATAAATCGCATGTACGGCTAAACTAGGAGGATCATATGCATTAGAGGGCGCGAACACCATTTCAAAAAAACCAGACCCTTTCGCCATAAAATCACTTAGAGATAAGAGTTACAGGTGAATCCCTTCGCAACCGGTTTTTTGACAGGTTTACTCCTGTCAGAGACAAAAATAAAATTAAGAAAGAAAAAATAAAAGAATCTTAGTACAGAAATGAGGCTAGACGAAACCTTTGGAGGCTCCGAAGAAACGAGGAAATATTTTATAATGATAATTAACAATAATCGATTTACACACCTAATGCAGATCAGACTGACAAGAGCGCTCCCACTTAATAAAACAATTTTTTAATTTTTACATATAATAAATAATAATATATAAACATAGATTTAGCAAATGAGTTCATAAAATTCTCGTATTTTTCGTTAAAAACAAGTCCTTCAATCATTACTCACAAGTTTCTCCGTTTTGCGAAAAGTCAGCCAAATCCATCAATTCTGATTTCCTTAAATAATATTTTCGATTCGAAGCCGAATGCGAATATTTAAAATTCGCAAAAGTTACGTAAATTTTCTTACTTAATGTTAATCTATTTTTTTAATCTGAAATTTTTATATTTAAGTTCTGAAGTTTTAAGCTTTTTGATTTCTTCATCTATTTAAATCTTTAATTTAATTTACTTCAGAATTCCATTGAAATTATTATTCGAAAAATTTCAGCGAATTTAAAATTATTAGTGATGCGTGAACGTGTAAATTATATGACAGCAATATTATTAGCGTTAACTGCGAGGCAAAATAATACAAATATATGCTTAAGAAGAAATGCTTTACTTAAAAGGGTATTTTTCTTTTTAAAAATAATTTTTAACGTAAAATATTTTAGCGAAATTATTTCAATTATTCGTTGAAAGGAATTATTGAAAGCGATTCATGAAAATAATTGTTGCTGTTTTCAATTGGAATAATTTAAGTGAAATTTAGGCTTAGGTTTAACAATGATCATCTCTACTCTAAAGCGATCTTTTGGCCCCTTTGGATCTTATTATGCTAGTGGTCAGAATAGGCAGCCAAGCAATCCAAAAAGGATACGAAAAAGAATATGAAAAAACGTATAAAATAAAAATGTAAACGTATATTAGCCAATAAAAAGGCGCCTCTTGAGAATGAACCATTTCCAAAGATGTCCGTTGAATGCCCATCAAAAACCATCATATTCCACCAATATCGTACAGTAATTCCGGTAATACTGTTGACCAGATCACTGTTTGAGAATTTGATTCTGGTCAGCCTTCTGCTTTGAGATGCATTTATCACTGCTGATTATGTTCGCTCCGCTGGCTTGTTAATCTAGAGAAATATGCCAGGGAATGCCTTGGCGATAGAAATACTGGTGAATCGCCAAAACCAACCGGATTTCTGAAGGGCTTTCCTTCTGTCCTTCAGAAAGGAGCAGGATTTTAGCATCGGCGATCCGAATTGAGCCCACTGAGCCACTCTATCTTCGTTTGCTTTCTCCGTTAGGCGGCACTGCCGACCGACGAAGCGTGTCGTGACCCAAGTGTCGATTTTCAGTGGCAGTTATTTTGCCACTGCGCCACCGATGCATCTGGCAACAAATATGCTCTACTCTTTTCACATTATCACCACCATTTTCCCTAAATAGCCCTCATCCACCTTCCTATCTTGCTCCTTGCTCTTCTTCGCTCTCTCTTCTCCTCACCTTTCCCTCATGCCTTCAGTATTCTTTCAATACACTCAGCCATCACCTAATCCTATGGATTTTATCGGCTGCGAACGTTATTTTGCACTTTGAATGTTATTTTTGAAAAAATCTGAAAGGTCGATAAATGCAACGCGTGTTAAACATTTAATCATCTAAACATTTTAAATTAGAGTTCAAAAAAATGGTTTTGCAGGTAATGAAGAATTGGTAATAAAATCTGTCAGTTTAATCCACTAGTGATGCACTCATTAATTGGTACTTAATTAAAGATTTTTAGCAATATTTTTCACGAATACCAGATGAGTGGAGCAACTGCTTCCAATTCCTAAGAAAGGCGACAGGATATACTGCGACAATTATCGACGAATCTACCAGATGTCACAGCGAAAAATTCTGCTTCCATTTTACTCAACAGAATTATTGAAATACGCAACAACAGGATGAGCCCTAATTAAGCTGGATTCACACATTAAGGAGGGTGTTGGAACATCGTTTCGTATATTTGGACACCATTACGTGTTTCATCGACTTTGCGGCTGCCTTTGATTCAATTGATAGAGCAGCGCTTTGGAGGGTGAATGCGGCGGTGTTCCAGAGAAGATATTCGACTCATAAAGCTATTTTATACGTCAGCGTAGGCCTATGTATATGGGGAAACTGATAGACTCCTTCGTAAGAAGTAGTTGTGTCCGTCAAGGTTGTGTCCTTTCCCCTACAATATTTAACTATGCGATATGTAACTGGATAATGGGCATCGTTTGTCGGTGTGCAAATCAGTGCAGAGCATAGTAATATTCAGATTTTGTATATGCTGATCATATAGTCGTTTTTGACAATTATGACGAAATGAAAACAATGCTAAACAACATTCAGCAGCTGCGACGAGAATCGGACTCGAGATCAATGTGAATAAAACGAAAGCCTTTTCGTCTTAGAAGCTGATAAAATGCCGATATTTCTACAAATTCATTGCCGGTTGAGGAGGAGATTTTAGATATCTTGAATCCACTCTAATTCCAAACGGTCAAACGAAAGATGAACTTATAACACGGATAAGAGTAGCTAGAAATGGGTTCTTCCGGTTGACAAAACTTTTATGGAGCTGTCGTGAAATCACCATTAAAAAAAAAGATAGCATCTATGTAGCCGCGATTCGTTCGATTTTGCTATATGGTTGCGAGACATGGTCAATGAGAGTGTAGAATATTAAGAAGCTATTTGTTTTTGACCTCGTGTTTAAGATACAGGTCCACCGGATAAAGTCTGACATGGTTGTATCTGCGTCCGCTCAATATATGGACTTAGACGATGGAAAAAAGAATGGCTTCTATTACTGTCGACGATGGAAACGTCTTACTCTTGCAGCCAGTGGAACCTAACCAGTAACAGTGGAAGTTACTAGAAGAAGAAATTAAAGATTTTTAGTAATATTTCTCACGAATATTAGTTCCTCGTCGATACTAATAGTTATATATTAATAATTGAAGTGAACCATAATTTCCCACAAAAGTACCATAAAAGAAAAGAAAGTTTCAGAAAAATTGGTCGCGAAATGACGTGAAAAGAATAGCTGAAACGATGAATTATGATTGGATAGTGAAGAGCTGTAAAAATTCGGAAGTTTTGATGGAAACAATGCGAAATTTAACGAAATCGTCGACGTCGATCGTTTCCGATGCCGAATTTCTGCACTTCTTCGATTCTTCTTTCTGAATTCTTTCTAAATTCTAACTCAAGCCGATTTACTCCATCTCAACTGTTTAGTTAAGCCAACGGCGAACGAACGAAGCGATAAAACTGATTTAAGCAGCGACAAAATAAAAATTAACCCCCATTATCGTTCACAACACTTTCAATCATAATAAAATTCAGTCTTGCTTTCGATTACTAATAATCAGATTTACAAAACTTATAGAGGAAATATCACTGATTTTAAGAGAGACGTAAATGGGGTTGGAGAAAACAAAAACAATGCGCTAAAGAATGGACAGAGATGAAAAAGAAACACAGAGAAATATAATGAGAAATTGTGAGGTCCTAGAGAAGTTATATAAAGCAATTTATAATCGTTAACTGAGCAGCATTACTTTTTCGAAAGTAGTTCGTTACATGGTTAAATAATAACTGGAAAGTAGTGTTCGGGCGGGGGGAGTGGTGGAGAGGTTGAGTCGGAGGTCGTGGGTCTGGTGCCATGGTTGGGTTCTGGTCTGGGTTTGGGCCATATGGGGTCTTGAGGCTGGGTGGAACGATAAATTGAACGAGAAAGCACCTCTTTTTCTGTCGAGTGGGTTAACAGCGAGCTATTGCGGGTTCACCGTTACTGGATATCGGTTATGTTTTAGGCGAATGACCCGGGTTTTTTCGACTTTCTCGATGAATATTTCATATCTTTTATTCAAGTCTTTCAAGTCTTTTATTATACTGTAACGGGGGAGTTCTTTGATTTGATTTTAAATTCACACTTTTGGTTTGTCAGTTCAGCCTGCACCATATCTGATCTGAGATGAGATTGTTATTGGTTTTATGGCTTTCTATAATCAATATGTTGTCTCGGACGCATCGTATTGGGGTGCGTCGCGTTTTATTGATTTGTTTTTCGCGACGACTCGCCATCAGTTTTAGTTTGTATCTCTGCGATTTCTTTCTCGTGCTGATGTGAATTTTAGATGTTTCGCAAGTGGTGATAAGTTGCATGATAGGAGGTAGGAGAGGTGGTAAATATTTACTGAAACTGGTAGAGTGTAGGTGGCGAAACGGAGATAAGACTGATAAGTCTAAAGCGGTACGAAATTTCAAGTGGGGTACATTTTGGTCGCAGGGATGGCAGCGAACCAAAGAATCATTGAAGTGGTAATCTATGAAAAACTATAAGATTTGGTAAAAGGTGCAGTGATTAATGAAATAGTGGAAAGAAGCAGTATAGCAGATAATAGAAGCAAGATTGGTTGAATGGTAATTCTGAGGACAAACAACGGAAATTCAATTTCAGTCCTCCAATGAGAGTAATTCTGCCATTAAAAACGAAATTTGAGCAACCAGCGAGCAGTTTGCACATAGATCCCTAAGCCGAAAGGGTCTAGTTTTACTAGTCTTTAAAATCAAGTGAACGAGGAGTTTTTAGAAGAGTGTGCCAACTAGTGGAAAAATGTAAGATAAAGATTGATATCCTTTGCCATTGATTGCCATTAAAATAACATCTTTTCAGGAAAGAATTTTGATAATTGAGTTTATTTTCTTCAGTTTTTTTCGACAATAGTCTTATCGTTTTATTCATTTAATTTTCAGTTAAGGTTGGTTCACATATTTTCAGTTATATCTAATTTGAATTATAAAAATTATTAAAATTTAAAATTATTAAAATTTTAAATAAAATTCCAAGTATTTCGCTGAATTAACAGAAACGTTTTTTTCGAAATTTTCAAATTTGATTTTTAATCTAATTCATTATCAATTCAAATTTTTTCTTTAATTATTAAAGAAAAAAAAACAGCAAATTTATTATTTAATATAATATTATTATTTCGCCTATTTCGGTTTTGAAATTTTTTTTTGAAATTTTTTAGAAAATTACTCCATCAGAAATCAGAATTTTCGTTATTGTATTTTTATTATAGTTCTTTATTTTATAAATCATATTTTCTTTAAAAATTTATTTCCAGGTTTGTTGCTTTAATTCTGGCATTTAAGTGTGGTCATATTTTCCAGAATTATATTATTTGCTGAACGGTAATAATCAGCTTTTACTCTGCGTTACGTCTTCTCGTGCTTAACGTTTTTTGAAGGTATTTTTGATGATATTTTCTTTGGTTTTTTTGAAGATCTATGAATATAACTATAATTGACTTTTTAATCTGGACTGAAAATTCGTAATTATTTTTTCATTGAAGGAAAGGCAGGGAAATAGCCATGCGCAATTAGATAAAAGTAAAATGTTCTACTGGATGAAATAAGTAAATGTAATTAAATAAAGCCGGTAAAATTCCCTATAAATGCTATGAAATAAATTAAAAAATAAATGAAGTGAAAGAAAATGGTTGAAATTGTGGTTATTTGCAGAAAGCTTAATAATAATCATTCACAATTCTTCCTTCTTGGCATAACGTTTCAAATTTTTATCTTATCTCTTCTGGCGTTAATTGTTCTGCATGTCTTCCGCACGTGGCGCTGCGGGCGCTGTTAAGCCTAAATTACACAACGTAAATAGTATATACGCAGGAAAGAACCAAAACGCCGTCAGGGCGCCCAGTATGTTTTTTTATGATTTTACTCAGTGGAAATATATATTTTATACAATATACTCAGTTTTTATATTTATATTGAATTTAGGTGTGGGCAAACATGGCGGCCTTCAGAGTCTTGGAAAAACAACAGCGGTGGTTCGTCGTATGCCTCCGCCAGCAATATTACCATCATTAAGAGCAGAAAGTCAAGGTCAAGATCCAAATATTGCACTTGTGCCTCAAGGTGATTCGTTTTTTAAATAATTGGTAGCATTATGATCATACATTTTTTAAAATAATCTTTTCTTCTCATTGTATAATTTAATTAGCCTGTGTAAATTAGAATAATGTCTCTAATTAAAAATCAAGAAAGCAAAGGCTAGTGTGAATCGAGAAACAGGATTTGAAGCAGTTAAAATTTATCAATATTTATTATCAAGAATCAATTTTGTTTATGGAGCTTTAAATGTCATTTTAAAGAAATACATCGATAATTTATCAGCAATAATCAATTAAGCGAGGGATTCAGATAATAAGATGACCAAGATACAAAACCAGGACATGGACTATCGCTAAAGGAAGAAGCCGAAGAAGTTGTAATAGGTTCGAGGATATTTTAGTGCGGCCCAACTAGACTGATAAACTTAAAAGTGACCTCCCTCGTGCTTCTATCATTCAGTGATCGCGAAACATTTTATTTGGTCGTTTTGGTTTTTTGAATTAAAAAGTTATAAAGTTATATGAAGAAAATCGTTTAAGGTGGAAGTGGATGGCACAGAGGAGATTCAAATGGAACAACAGCCGATTCTGTTTCGGTAAACATAAAAACTTTATTTTTTAAGTTTATACCTTTATTTTAAGATATATATTTCTTTTATTATGTAATTCCATAAATTATTCATTGAAGATAACGAAATCCTTATCTGCTGGAGGTTTGCCTGGAGGAGCAACTTCAGGATCATCGAACAACACAGGATCACACGATTTACGTCCCACATGGGCGAAGCAACCGCCTATTACAGATGTACAGATTGCTGCTCAAAATGTGAACAACGTCGCTGCTTTGTCACGCGATTTCCCATCACTTGCCGCAGCTACAGCAACAGTGGGGAAGCAGTCAAATATATTGCAAAACGATATACTCAAGCCGCAAAGTACTTTAATTATTTTGCAGTTATTTAAATCATTCTAATGATTCAAAAGATTCATCCCAACTTGAATCGTGAATTCTTGACTTATTTTACCAAATATTCTCTAGAATCAGGAAGTTGGAAAGCAGGTGGAAGCTGTGCAATATCAAAGAACGAAAGAAACGAGCCAAATGTTTCTCAACATGTACATATTGTACAGTCTCATCTTTCAGCCAACAGTGTAGAAAGACAGGTTTTTATTATTTTGCTTCTTCGGATTTTTTTTCATAGTATTTCGAATATATTTTGAACAAATATTTTGTTAAAGTTACCTTCGAGATATTACGATGGAACGACAGCACCACCACCTCCTCCAAGCGGCACTTTTCAAATACCCAAGGGGCAACTGTCGAATTCGCTACAGTCAAAAAGCAGCAGTGTCGAGGGTGTAAATCTTCAGTCAGGTATACTTTTCAAAATGCGTTTGTTATTTCCATGTTCCATGTTCTTAATCATAATTTCATGACAATTTTATCTATATTTTCTAGAAATTTCTATCATTTGATTTAGAGTAGAGTGAAAATGTTTCAGAGAATGTGGAAGAACGGAATCTTTGTACAGTTCCTACCACACAGTCTTCGACAACGGCACTGCATCCTTTTGCGACCAATGTCGCAGTACCGCCACCCAATTATTCGCAGCCTCCTCCAAATTTATTTCTTGGTCAAGTAGTTAGTAGTTTTACTGTGTGTTCTATTGTGGCTTACATTATTTAATCTAAATATTAATTACGGTATAACAATTTTATAGCAGACAGACCAAATGAGAGGTATATCGGCAGTTTGTATGACGTCATCACCGGTGCTTATAACAAAAGATGTAGCAAAAAGCGTCGAAGAAGGGCTGCTGCAGCAGAGAAGTGGTCATGGCGACGAAGGATATCGCGATTCTGTTTTCAAAAATAATTTTTCAATTGATTGTAAGATGAATTTTTGATAATACTAGTTTCAGTCTTGCTTCGTTTTTCATTTTTTTCCATTATTGATCGAGATATTTCAAGGTGATTAGTAAAAAATTTGTTGTTTTCAGCCCAAACTATGGAAAATAGCTTAAACGATTCACGGAATTCTTTGTCCTTTATAAAGGATAAAAACGAAAAGTAAATTATGCTTCTCTCGTCCACTTTTTTCTATTGATTTTAGGTTCCAAAAATACTTTTGGAAAATATTTTTTTAATGTTATTTTTATGTTCACTCTTTTTTATTCATCATTTCGTATATCCAATTAGATATTTTAGAGAAAAAGGATATGATGAGATTTCGAATCGATCGAATGATTGTGACTGGCAGAATACGAAGTACGGTCATATCGATCGGGATGGTGAATGTACTGCGTGGCATGGTGCAGCAAATGTTAGTCAGAATGTACGAACTCGTATGGAATTTTCTCAGGTTCGCTTCAAAATTTTTATTCGAGCAATAATGATCATAAATTATATTTTTAAACGATTATTTCGAATGTTGCATTTTTTTTCTGTTGATATTTAAATGTGCAGAATGGTTATGGTCGAGAACGTGATGATGAAGCAACACGAAGACAAATCATTGAGCGAGAAACAGCCATTGAACGATCTCGCCAAAAAAGGCGACAGATAAGTCAGGTAATTTTTTCTTATGGTTAACGATATTTTTTTTCATTTATTACTGGTAGTTTATTATCTTATTATTATCTTATTCAGAGTTCTGTACCATCTGAAGGTGAACGAACGACTTCACCATCAATTTATGGATCAGTGCGAATGATGAATATGTATGATAATGAAACAATAGCTGATTGGGATGCACTTTCTGCTGAAAATCAGGTTGTTATTATTATGGAGAGAGATCATGAAATTGTTTTCGAAATAATTTTTTATTGCACGATGTTTTAGACGATAGATAAAGGGCCCTATCGGCGGGAAAGTCAGCAACATTGGAACATGATTGTGAACTCGGAAGATAGACGAAAACAAGAAGAAAATGAGCAAAAATTAGAATATCGAATGCTCAAACGAAATGATGGAAGAAATTCCAGTGACATCCACCAGAATCAGCTTCCCCATGTAGTGAGTCGTAATCTTCAGGATGATGAAGATGGTTTGTTTTTCTTTAGATATTATTTGTTTTAAATTAAAATTGAATTGAAAAGATCGCTACAAGATAATTAGAAAAAATATATTTTATTGTCTTTTTACTTTATTATGCTCGCGTTCGATTTTACTCATTTTCTTAAAGATCTGCAATTAACCAAACTGTCCAGTGCTGGCACGAAAGTAATTAAACGAGTTGCACCAACTATAAATTCTGAACAATCAAAGCAATTTGGAATTCAATCTAATAATGTGCAAACTTGCGTTTCTTCATATGTGCATGCTGCAAATGCCGCGAATTTATCATCTGGAGTTTTAAACCCATCGCAGAAAGTATTTGGCCAAATAAGAAATAGCACGAAACATACTATTTCTCGACAGGTATTTCTAAATCTTTAGGTTTAAAGAACTGTTATTTTTCTGCTAAATGAGGTGGGTGAATTTTGGTTCTTTTTCCATTGAGTATAAATTAAATAAATATAAAATAAGTAAATTTAGTTTCAATTTATAAGTTTATTTAAAAGTTCCATTGCACTTCACAAAATCAAAATCTTGTTAACAATGTTTAGTATCGTTAAATTCTGGAAGTCTTTTATTTAGAATTGTGATCATGATTTATATTTCAGACTCATTATCATCGAGAAAGGCATGAAGATGGACACGTAAATGAAGAGTAATATTAATTGAATCATTTCATCTCATTTAAATGTATATTTCAAAGTTTTAAATCGGGTTTGACTTTTCCTATTTTCAGATTGAAATCTGATCGAAATTCTAGCCAGCATTCATGCGCTGAAACGGCCTCTTCTATTCAGAATCATCCATCTGCATCAAGTACTCCAGTAATAACAGCATCGCCACCTATAGATAATATATGGGAAAGACGTGCAGAAGAAAGAGAAAGTGCTGAACGTGAGCGAATGGTTCAAAAAGATATGGCGCAACAAGTTCATCTTCAACAACATTTCCCTGCGGTTGGGGAATCAGGTTTATGGCCTTATAATGCTTTACCATTTTACTAGCTTAAGTAAATCTTATTATTAATCTTTATTATTTTAAATCAAAGTATTAATATTAATAAACAATAATCTTTTTTAAAGCATTTTCACTGAGTTCATTGAGTTTGGGGTTTTAAAAACTTTTAATTTAGATGATTATGAATTGAATAATAGTGAAGTATTTGTTGGACAGCGCATAAAATCTTCAAATACTAGACATGATGCGAAGATACGAAGCAAGAAAAATCACTGTCGTTAGTTTTTTTTCTATTTTTTTAATAAGAATGAAAAAAAAGGCTTAGTTTTATTTGATATCATTCAGATCATATTTTTTGATATCATTCAGATCATTGTTCTTAACGATGCGGATTTAATTCTGAAGCTCCGAAAGTTTTTAGATAATTGGCAAGATTCAAGATATAGTGGGAATTATAATATGAATGAATATTTTGGGCAAGAAGATGAAGAAGAAGGTGGAGGTCTTTTCCGAGGTCAGCGGGAGTTTGTAAATTCACGTGTTAGTGCTCGTTCTTCACGTGGAATTTCCTTGGGGACGCGTGGTAACCGGCCATATGGTCGAAGTGGCTATTCTACCGGGCGACGTGGTGGTAGCGTTCCTTACCAGCACACAAATAATCAGCGACAGCAGTTGCGGCATAATGATCGCTTTGGCAGAGGTGGTCATCGCCGTAGCCGAAGACATGAACCTATCGAAGAGGTAAAATAAAATTTCTTTAATAAATTTATTTTAATAAATTAATATCTCAAAAATTTAATAATTAATAATAATTTATACTGATCATGACAGGTCATTATATAGCAACCTATTCTAATTTTGTAATATCTCACATTGCGTCTGGAAAATCACCAGCTATACATTACTTTCTCTGAGGTGTGAGTAAAATATTTTAAGTTTGCTGGTTATTAAAAATCGTTCTTCTAACTTTAGAGGCGTAGTGAATTATTTTTTAAATTTATCATTTGCACCTTTTTTTTATAAAAAATCTTTTCAAGTGACGAAAAAATTTCAACGTGAAACTAGGGTTCACTTGAATTATAAACTTAGGTTTTTTTAACTTAGGTTTTTTTCCCAGTTAATGAATATCGTAATTTGCGATCGTAATTAGTGGATAGTGAAGTTGCACATTTGGATTGGAACATCATAAATTCGAATTTTACCAAGGACCAGGAATTCTTGTTACTTTTCCTGAACTCTTGTTGTCGTTATAATGGATGAGGGATGAGAATATGAGAATAAAAAGAAAACAATGGTTGAAATAAATTGAAACTCTCTTACTTGAATTCTTACCTATTATATCAACAATTTTCAGTCGCTCTTATACGCACTGAATCATTGAATAAATAGGCTGGATTGCCACAATTGAATTTTCTCTGTGCCATATCTTTAATATTGATTATATTATTGTATTTAAGGTGGAAAAAGATAATTTCTCGAATATGGGTGAATTTCATGTAGAAGATACATATGAAACTTTATCTAATGTGCAAAAGACTATAAACGAGGAAAAGATTGTTGGTGATGTAATTGAGCAAGGGAAAAGCGTTGGTAATGATCATATAAATCAGATGTGCGGTACTCGTCGTTCAGGTAGCCAAAGAAATACACAACAATTTTACCAGCCTCGCCATCAGTTAGAAGTAAATATTTCATCGAGTTTCTTTTAAAATGCCTAAAGCGTATTATTTCGTTAAAATTATTTCATTAATTTTTTGTGTGAGAATTTATAACTATTCTTTTTTTTTCTAATAATGCCTATCATTTCTACATCGGCTGGTTCTGCTGGTTATTGTGATAAGATCTCTTCACTTTACCATACCTCAAATTGCTCTCACCATATTTCTTATGACACGTTAATTCTAATATTTTAAATGTGGACAAAGAAGTTAAATAATTTTTACCAAGTAATTTTTTAGCTTCACATTCGTGCGCCAAGGAGAGGTGGACGGACCGGAGGTTTGAAAAGTGATATTTATCGTAATAATCGAAATGCCGCTGGTGAACGTAATCCGTCCGAAAGAAATAAACGAAAAAAGAATTCACTTGTGTGTTTTTAAATTTTAAAAATCCTATCGTAATTTAATTTATTGGGAATATTTTTTTTCAGCATTCAGTTGGTACTGGACAAGATGCACCTGAAGAGGAAAATTCAGAAAGAAATGGAGTAAGTAATTCTCGGAATGACACTTATCGTAGAGGAGGAGGTGGTAATCGCCCCGTGCGTCAGACGGTATTCTTTCATTATTTTTATATATCTGTAGATCAAAACTGTTGTTTCACTATCAAAAAATGCAAATTTTTCTTTTTGCAGGCACGTATTCGACACTCATCACCTCTTTCATTATCTGCTCAGTCGACTAATACTGATGCGCCAGATAATTCATTCCAGAAGTCGCAACAAAATTTCAAAAATTGCGAAGAATGGGAAACTGTGTCTGAAAATAGCGAATTGGTTGATCGACAAAGGTTCAAAAAAATTTTTTTTTGTTTTTATCTACAAAATCAACTCTATTTTTAATATAATTTTTTAATAGATTTAAAATACAGTATATTTTTTCCACATAAAATCAATTGCTGGTGGAATAGAAGTGAAATTTTCTTGTTTGCCTTATGTATTAAATCATATATTTTTAGCAATCAGCGGCGCCTTATGCCCAACAAGTCTATCGTTACCCGCAAGTCGCAACGTCCACTTAACGGTATTTCCTCAAATTTGTTAGCAGTTTTTTGTTTTTATATGTTTTGTTGTCTTTTTTGCAACCTTTCGTTTCTTGACTGTTTCCTTTCATATTTCATCTAAATATTAATATTATTAATATTGAATATCATAAAATCAAATAATTTCAATTCTGTTTTTAGGACAGCGCCGTGAAAATAATATTAGCACGAGCAGAACGGGTAATAGTTCAAAAAACGTGAAACCCGCCAGCACTACGTCGCACGCGGCCGGCCGAAACGCCCAGCCACTCAGAGAGGTTAAACTTTATACTTTTTTAAAATAATTCCTTTTATTATATCCATTTCCTTTACTTCAGGAAGTGGAGGCATCGAAAACGGTTGAGCAACCAAAACGTGACGCCTGCAAGGACGGGCTGGCGGGAGTTGATATAAATAATGCAGGTGTTATTGTAATTGATGATCGACCCGATGATCAAGTTGATGATTTCACTGAAAATGATTTCGAAGAAGTTCTATCTAAAAGAAATAAGCGATTGAGACAGCAACAGATCAATGAACAGATTGAAGCGGTGACTTTTTCTATTTTCTTTTATCAAATTATCTGCTGTTCATATATGAAAAGTACATCGCATTGTTACTCATTCTAATATTTCTTCCTTTAATAGCTGGCATCATTACTGGTTAGGGTGACTTTGCTGGCTGCAAAGGTAAGGGTTTTCAAGCTTCTCTGTCCTATGCTACTGGAACCATTCGATTTTTCCACCTTCTAAATTCGTATATCGCTGGAGTGCTTATGTGTTCAAATCTCATTTTACCATGTCCAAAGTTTTTAATTGGTCCTACATTATCCACTATACATAGTTTAGCAGGTAGGGAAATGTGTCTATGTAGGTGAACGAAGAACATAGTCAAACCAATTACTGGCGATGCTTTATGATAATATTCTTAATGCAGTTGACATTTGACAATGTTGGCGAGTATGAAAATTGTATCTTAGGTAAGAATGATCAGATGCACATAACTTTCTGATATCCTTCATTTTCATTTGCCAGTATGATAGAATTATATACTGCAACCATATAAATGGAAAATTTCACATTTCACTGGCGAGGTATTTAAAGTTCTGAACCACTTTTTAACTGTTGATGAATTTGTATAAACTGTAATCTTAGAAATTTTATTTAAATTGATTCATGCTAATTTTTTTTGCTAATTCCGGCACCGGATCTGTGTTGCAATTTCTTATAGTTTTTAACAGAAGAACATCATTAGCGTATTCAAGTCGGTTCATGATCCAATCTGTCGCATAGATGAAAATTATAAATAAATAAGTAAATAGGAGAGAAATTGAAGAGAACGCAAGCAGATCGATGCTTTTTTCAAAAGGGTTCATAACCAGTTCTGGCGTACGCCGATAAAATTACTTTAATAATTTGATTGACTTCTCTGGAATACCAGCGTTGAAGCACTTAATGGCGGCTTGTCCAAATTTGAAAGGATATTCCTCTCCAAGCATGGAAATTAGGTTAGCGCAACCACGTCTTGCATAAATCTGATTTGGTTTAGAACGCATTCTGCTTCCACACATTCCAAAAGTCTACTCAGCAAAAGAACAAAAATTTTCCCGGAAATATTTAACAATTTGGTTCCTTGATGATTCATAATGCGTTCTATCATTTTTTCTGGGAACTGGAAGCAGATTTAACTTGTTTCAATCATACGCTTTTCTCATGCCAATGAATGTGGTTTTTCTAGATGTTTTGTGAAGGACGCAGCATTTGAGGAGTTCAGCTCGCAGACCATCTCCGAGGGGGTTAACCTTACGAATTTCAGAGATTATTTCGGTTGGTGACTTGCAGTTACAATCGCATGGCTCCAAATATGTTCCAGTCGCGTCCAGGATATTAAATGGTCTATTGTAATTAAGTTTAGATTCAAAAAACTCTCTCCATCGAGGGAGGCAATCTTTGGTCTTAACGAGGTTCCCATCCTCTGATCATTTCATTGACCATTTTTCAAGCCTCAGCTTTTCAAAATAAGCCAAAATTTTTTATTATCACTTTCGAGTCCTACAAGCGTTCTAGCAACACGATCAGACAGTTGGCTCATTTCATTCAAGGTCAGCTAGCTTTTTTTCGAATCCAATATCCTGGACGAATAAGCTAAATCCTGGAAGCAAAATTTCATCGGGGGATACTTTTCGGAAATTGTAGGGGACTATCTTAATTTTTAAAATCCGTTAGATGCAACACAGTTCAAAATGTGACAATTCGAAACATAAATTCTGAATTTTTTAATTTAAGATAGTCAAAAGTTTTGAAAGGACACTAGGAAAATTAACATTGAGTTGATACATTTTAGTAAAAATAGTATTTTATTTTTAGTATTTTTTAGTATTTTAGTATAGTAAAAATAGTATTTTTTATTTATTTATAAAAAATAATATTAAATAATATTTTATGCACTTTCTTCGCAGTGTTTCCATTTATCTGTTATAATATAATATCTGTTATATTCTGTTATAATATATATATATTCTTTTTAGGAAAAACGGAAATTAAAAGAAAAAGAGAGACTAGAAAGACGTAAAGCTAAGATCCAGTCTCGAAAATTTGATAAAAAGGGTAACAAAGAAGAAAAACTAACTCAGAATGGCGCGAATGCAAAAAATTCTGGAGCCACGCACTTTGGATCAAATGCAAAAGCAGATGATTCACAATCAATTGTTGAATCTCCATCGCAGCCAGCATTGAATACGACTGTTTGGAATAGTTCAATTGTCAAAGAACAAATTATCCGACAAATTTCGCCACCAGTCGAAACGTTTGTTTCAATTAAGACGATTAATTACATTTTGCTCTTTTATATTAATTAACTGTTTAGTACCTTGGAGGATTTGGTGGAATAATCCTGCTGAATTTTCTTGAATCAGTTTCGATTATAACTTTAATTTATTTAAAATTTTTAGTCGGCTGGTTATTCCATCACCTATAGCCCGACCAACACCAAAAACTGATGGTATGGCAATGAACAATTCAACGAAAAAAGTTGATATGTGGACAGGATTGGATGAAGAACAAAGATTGGATGCTTCTAAAAAGGTTAGCGCATTATTTAGCAAAGAAATTCAGCAAAACACTGTGAATTCTTTACTATCGTGATTTTAGTCTTCCGATGGTTCTGTAACAAAGAAGAATTCCGTCGAGTTCACTGGAACATTCGGTTCAACATCTGCTCGAGTTGAAGGTGGTCAATACGATTTCTCTTTTGATCCTTCTCTTCAGGATGAATCTCAGCCAATGGTAAAAGTAAAAGTCATTGTCCTCATTCATTAGTTTTTTAATCAATACATTTTTTTCATGTAGTCTTGCACATGCTATATGCGCTAACAAATAACAAATTTATAAAATTTTAAAAGAATGATTTTATTTTTTTTATTCTTCTTTTTTATTCTTATTTTTTTTTATCTTTTTTTATAAATCTCTTCTCGTAAAAGGAACTTCTTTTTGATACTGAGACTGGTTTATTAATGGCTATCGTTATTTTCCTGAATTTTTTCAAATTTTTTGCATCCTAAATTTTTTTGAAAAAATTTTATGTTGTTGCTACCGGATAAAATAACTTTCTTTCTATTTCAGCCACAAAAGATGTCAAAAAGTAATGCATACATTAAAGCAAAACGATCGGATTCATCAGCACTAAGGCTTGATCCTATGTCGCTTGATCCGAATGATGATGAACGTTTGAAGCAGCGACTTGATAAGGTCTGCGGTTTTTTTTTATCTCATACATTTTCCTAATTTTGTGTCAAATTTTATAAGTCTATTAAATTTTCGATTTTTATTATTGCGCCATTTGGTTTAATATCACTGGTATTACGTGGATGAAACTGAATTAGTTTTAAGATGCAGATGCGTTTTTTTTACTATTAGATCGTTTGTATTTTAAGCTTTAGTATGGTTTTTTGAGTTATGGGAGAAGTATTTGTTGATTAACTCTGTTAATATTGGTGCTCGATAGATTGAAGTCAGTGGCCTTAATATTCTATTAATCGGTAAATCAGGTTTCCTTGAGCAAAACAATTCAAAATGAAGTTCTAAAATTCAGGTAAAAGATATTTGGCCTGGTCAGCAATTTACAAACGGTCTTTTATGCACTTCGACAAATAATGGATCAATTAATGTTTTGGAAAAATCAACAAATACTGGCGCATCTTCCCTTCCACATGGTCCAAATGTGGCAAAGGTATTAAAGTTTATCTAAATTTTATAAATTATATAAAGTACCATTGAACATTGCAAATATTTTTTTTTCTTTTACGAAAATTTTTGGATTTTTTTCAATCTTGTTGTAAATCTTGATTAGGTGCGCCCACAACCTCAAACCAGTGAGCAAACATATAGTACTGTTCCACTGAAGGAAATTCCGTCAACGCATATAAACACAACTGTTCAGCCGCCATCACCAATAGCGTGTATACCACCGGGTTAGTTACAATTGAATTTAATTACAGGTGAAATTTTAGTGAGATCGATCCGAAATTTTTTTACTCCCCATTTAGCTTAATTTACGTAGCATAATTTCAATGAATTTATTTTCTTCTTAATTAAAATATATTTGTACTTTTATAGGGAATATTTTTTTTCTAACACCACCATTATTTGTTTAAGCTGGCTCCGCTGGCTACAAGGGTAAGACATCTCCAAGCTGCTCGATCCGTCGCCATCGCTAGTAGTGATAGAAGCCATTCCTTTTCCTATCGTCTAAGTCCATACATCGCTGGTCCTTCTGTACGTTCAAAGTCTTTCCTGGCTGTATCAGTCCAGTTCTTGATGACGATACTGTCAGTGTCGGTCATTTGTGATCTCATATTTTTCTGAATTTTATTTATTCATCGTTATGCTACCTTTTTCAATGTATTATTTGCAGTTGCAGTGGCATTAAAAGTATATTGCGAGGCTTGGTCGTAAGTAAGAACGAATAGTGTTCAGCGAGTATGACGTCTAAGACCATCCAAATGCAAGATTTCATAAATCATTGTATTAATCCATGTCTTTACTGGATCATCTCGCTTTTTAACGCCAACCATCACATGGTTCGGCAAGTAGCGAAATTTGCGTCAACTCTTGTGGTGGACGATGGAAACGTGCCCTAACCAGCGAAGGTGACGCTCTTTGATAATATTAATACAGATGGTATTTGAGCGAAGATGGATGCAATAATATGCGATTTTATCCGCTCGATCGATCCCTAAAATGTGTCTTAGACAAGAGTGGTTATAGGCAGATAATTTCTTAGTATCTCCACTCTCACTGGCCATGTTTCGCAGTTATGTAGCAAGATCGAGTGAATTGCAGCTATATGGGTGCGGATTTTCGTCTTTATAGTGATTTCGCGATGGTTCTATAAAAATTTCGTCTGAACATTTATAATTTTTTAAAACGTATCATCTGGATTATAATTTCATCCTTTCCATGATCATTCAGGATTAGAGTGGGTCGAAGATATTTAAGGTTATCTCAACCGGCAATTGAATTGATAAAAATAGGTATTTTGTCAATGTCTTATATATAAGGCGAAAATACTTTCGTTTTATTTATATTGATTTTGAGTCCAATTCTCGCTGCAGCTGTTGGCACATAGTTTAACATTACTTTCATTTCTTCTAATTTTAGCAAAGGACTACATTATCAGTGTATTCAAGGTCTGTGGTGCTATGCTCTGGACTGATTTGTACAACTCTTGAGTGCAAACACCTTGTGTTGTTTCCATTATCCAGTCTATCGCATTATCTAGTTGAATATTGTAGGTTCCCCATATACACAGACCTATATATGGATATATGTAGGTATATATGGACTTATATGAACTCTTATATATGGACTCCTATATATGGACTTAGACGATAAAAAAGGAATGGTTTCTATTACTACTAGTAATGGCCTCAGAACATGAGAGCTGTTAGAAAAAGAAGTGCTTAGGTATGCTGATAAAGAGAACGGAATATATTTGCATTTCATTATTGAGTTATTGTTTTGGTTCTTATTTTTAGGAGCTTGCTTACAATCGTTTCCACAAGTTCCTCCACCAGCATTTCCACATTATTCCCTAATATTGAATGAACCATATAATCCGAATTCGGCTGCTTCTACCATAACACAAGTTGGTTCGCTTCATATTGAACATATATGTATATATATATATATATATTTATGAAAACTTTTTGATGATAGGTACCCACTAATATATTGATATATCTAGGCTGAGGGCTCAGATTTCGGTTTATAATGTATTTTTTCTTTTTTGTAGAATATCATTTTCTTTGTAGACATTGTTTGGTACTAGTGCATCATTAAATCAAGCACCACCATCATCTAGATCACGCCCAGCATCATACATTGAACAGTCTCAATTATTCATTCATCCTCCACCTAGCAATGCAGGTTCAACATGGTCAAATGCAAGCGCTCATTTAGAATTGTTGACTGGTATCAGTGCTACACCACCGTTATCATCACAAGCAAGCACCTCAGTTTCACGTTTTCAGGTTTTTTTTGTAAACCAATATGTGTTATGTTTCATTTTTATCGCATCAGAGTCTACTAAAATTTGTTAATTTTTTTCAGAACGTCGTTAAATTGTAAATAGTGTTTTATTTAGTTTTCAACGCAGGCACGATCTGCTTCTGCGTTTGCTCCACCTCCACCAATGATCAGTGGAAATGGTAAAATTGCACATATTGCTCCACCTCCACCACATCCACATCAAGTGCCACCACCTTTGCATCTCCCACCTAGTTTTACTGCGCCACCACCGGACTTCGTTCCTTCTCAGGCTACAAATTTCGGCGCTGTTGGTAGCCAACGAGCTACTGAGCTCGCATCGCAAAATTCAGTCAGTGGAGGATTATCTCGCAATGCTGGTCCTAACATACTTGGTCAAATGCCTGTTCCGGTGCAACAGGTTACTTTTAGATTTGTTGCTTGAATCTTCATTGAATTGATTGAATTATCACGTTTAAATAATTGCCTATTTCATTATTTAAGTGTTAGGTTTTGTCTTTGGGAATCTTGTTGGAAAATCATTCATTTAATGGACGAATTGAAGAAATTATATTTCATATATAAAATAAAATAAAATAAATTGAAATAAATTGCAGCCGGTCAATTTATCACAGAACTCGCAGTCTGCATTTCCATTAGCAGCTAATGCATTTAGTCAAGCTCCACCGATACATGCATTCTCAGCCCCACCTCCACCAATACGTTTTCCAACAATACCTGCACCAATGAATGATGGTATTGGTGTTGTAGCAACTAGCTGGACTAAATCTTCTAATACTTTTCCTGTCAAGTATACTGGTGGTAAATTTTTTTTAATTTTTAATTAACAATTAATGTTTCAAATATACATAATTTGAAGATATATTTTAACTGCTTTAAATCTTTGAAATATTTTTAGGCACTGCGCAAATCGTTCCGCCAATAGCACGACCAGCTGCTACAGGGCGGGCGCAGCAAAATGATCGGTGGACTACGCCAACTTGCATGGCCTCTCATTATGCATCCAATTCGTTTTTTCAGGTTTCTGAAAATTTTTTTTAAAATTTCATGAAAGATTTAAAATTTTGGAATTTTTCCTAACAGCATTCATTTATGCATGCAGTTGACTCCATCAATCTAAGGAAATTTTTTCGAAAGAAGATGATTAAGGATGCGTGATTGAGTGTCTCCAGTATCATCTGAATTTGTTTTTTATTGATAAAGTTTTTTCTACTTAATTTCAATTGTGCATGAGTTGTTTTCATATTTTATAAATATTAAAATTTTTCTAGTCACATGCTAATAATAAAGAGGATAGAACACATGGGCCAACTCCTGATGAGATTACTCGTGCTAGTTCAGTTTCAAGCATATCTGCACCTGCTGATGATTCATTGGAAAACTCAAATCAACCGAAAAAAGCCACGAAAGTTTGAATTTATATCGGTTACGGTGATTTTAAAGAAGCATTTATGATTAATTGTGCATTACAAAGGCCAATTAAAATTTATTTAACTCCTTATTTTCAAAAATATTTCCATATAATATTTATTAATAATATAGCCAGTTTTCATTCATCACTTTTTAGTGTAGATGAAGCAATTTCGTTTAAACGAGCATATGTTAGTATTTTTGCCTTTTTGCTAATCATTGATATTGTAGTTACATTTTTCCAAAAAGCAATATGCTGAAATTTAATTTAATTTTCTTAATATTTGTTATCGGAAATGAATTTATATTTAACTCCATATGTTAGATTTTCTATTTTATCTTTTCTATTCCATATCGTCGTTACTTGTCATAATCGTATCCTCTTTTTGCGTTTTGCAGTTGTTTTCAAATGCTTATTGATTATTACCGAGGTTTTGGATTTTTGAATGAAAGTTTAGTAAAAATGGGAGCAACTAATATTGGTTTATTGTTAGAAAGAAAATTTTTTATTTTATATCATTGAAAATGTTTTTCTGATTTTGGATTTTCATCTTATTTTTATTAGGTTGCTGTGCAGTTTCGAGAAAACATTGTTGGTTTTTTTCTATCCCGTATTGCATAAAGTTGATTTGCGAGTAATATTTTTTTCGATCACTAGTATAAATAAAAGTTTCAATTTGTAAGAAATTTTTTCATCTAATTATAATTAATGGCGATTTTTAAGACTGGAAATGGAGAAATTTTTAATAATTTTGCGAAGTCTCATTGTTTTCCGATTTTCGGAGGAATAATAATTATACTGATAATAATAATTATATTAATAATTATGACATATAATTATAATATAATTATAAATATAATAATAATAGCAGATGAAAATGTTCGAAGAATGGTTTCGAAAAATTGTTCCGTAAATTTGCTTTTTACCGTCAAATTTTTTAATAAGTTAAATGATAAATGATAAATGAATGTAACGAGCAAAATAACATTTTGATTAAAATGGTAATGGTAAATAACATTTTCGCTTAAATACGATTTGGAAAATTTTTCACCAGGTTTTGAAAGAACATGTATGGATATGTTCTTTCTTCTTCAAACAGCTCTCACCATTACTGGTTAGCCTGGCTGCAACGGCTAAAAGAGTAAGGCGTTTCCAAGCGAAGCGGTCCGATGCCATCGTTGACAGTAATAGAAGCCATTGCATTTTCCGTCGTCTAAGTCCAAATATCGCTGGTCCGCCTATACGTTCAAAATATTCCTGGCCGTATCAGTCCAGGTCTTGATTGACTCACCTCGCTTTTGACATCCATCACACGGTTTAGCGAGTAATACGACAACTCTTGTGGTGGACGACGGAGAACATGCCCTACCACCGAACCACCGAAGGCAACACTCTGTGACAACATTATTAAAGCAGGTGGGATTTGAACGAAGGTGGATGCGATCATGTGATATTTTATCCGCTCGACGGATCCGTAAAATGTACCTTAGGCAAGAGTGGCCAAAGGCTAATAACTTAATATCCTCCATTATCATTAGCCATGTCTCAGAGCCATATAACAAGATCGAAAACCCACAACCCACAATAATAACCGACTGTCACGTGTTTCATCGATTTTGCGGCTGCTTTTGATTCAATTGATAGAGCGGCGCTTTGGGGGTGATGGGGACGAAATGCAAATAATGCTAAATAACGTCTCAGAAATTGCAGCAAGAATGGCTCTTAGGGTCACAAAACGAAAGTCTTTAAATCTTATGTGCAAGAAACTGATAAAATACCTCTTTTGTGTAAATTCATTGCCGGTCGAGGAAGTGTCCGATTTTAAATACCTTGGGTCCACTCTAATACCAAATGGCTAGGCAAAAGACGATATTGTAGCCCGGATCACTGCAGCTAGAAATGCGTTCTTTCGGTTGACGAAACCTTTATGGAATTATCACTTTGAAATTACCATTAAAACGAAAGTCCGCTTCTATATTGCCGTGATCCGTTCGATCTTATTATATGGTTCTGAGACATGGCCAATGAGAGTGGAGGATATTAAGAAACTATTTACCTCTGACCACTCTTATCTAAGGTATATTTTACGGGTTCGTCGAGCGGATAAAATATCACATGATCGCATCCACCTTCATTCAAATATTACTTGCATTAATAATGTTATTACAGAGCATCGCCTTCGCTGGTTAAGGGCACGTTCTTCGTCGTCTACCGCAGTATTTGTCACATATTTCGTTGTTTGCTAAACGGTGTGATGGATAGCTTCAAAAGCGAAGTAGGCCAATCAATACCTGGGACTGATACAGTCAGGAAAGATTTTGAACGTATAGATGGACCAGCAATATATGGACTCAGACAATGGAAAAAGGAATGGCTTCTATTATTATCGACGATGCCATCAGACCGCGTAGCATCTTACTCTTGTAGGCAGTGGAATCAGCCTAACGAGTAATGGTGAGAGCTATCATAAGATTTATGAATTTGGCTTGGATGGTGTTAAAATTCAATATAACAAACATAAGAAAAATGAAAAAATCAATTATTTTTGTTATTTGGCATTTTCTCTTCCATTATTACTTTATTCTTTAAGCGTTTCACTTTTATTTTTATATTTTCGTAAAATGTGCGGTGTGTGCGGTGCTACTTTTTTGTAAGATTATTAAAGCAGAAAAAGATTCATTTAGAATTGTTTTAATAACCTTTATATTCTAAAAATAAACATTATTTCCGGTTTGGCTGATTTTACTGATTGTTTAAATGAGTCATATTTGCCAGAAAGTTGCTTGGAGTGGTTCATCAGAGTTTCCGGATTCCCATCATCCGAATATCATTTTTTATGAAATTTATTTAGAGGCCAAGAATTCAGTTGAATTTGAAGTTGAATTTCTGCAGATGTGTTATTTTCATTTCAGTTGTATACGAAGCAATACATCGTTTTGTCTTCAAACGAATTATAAGAAAGGCCTTTCGATTAAAACTGCAAATTGAATTCATTATTATTTCGATCATTTTCGAAATCCATTATTTTTATATATCTGATAAGCACATTCATGTACGCAAATTTCGAAGTTGATGATTAATTGCCGGCAGCCGGCACTATATCTTTTTCTATCCACGGAGTATCCCATTTTTTGATCCTTAGATACTTTTATAGTCGTTTCAGTTTTCAATAACAGTTATTTTGTCGGACATATACGCAAATAATTACGCAAATGGTGAAAATGAGTTTTGGAAGATTTTGATTCGTCATTATTTTTTTCACTAAAATATTTATTGAGTGCATGAGTATTTATTAAAAATTTACGCCCAAGTTTGCTTTTGTACTGAATTCTTTAATTTTTAATTTCATGCATGCTTTACAAGTTTTCAGCTTTATTGTCGCTAAAGCAAACAAGGATTGCGAAAATAAAATCAATCTTCAGACCATAAGAGCGAGAAAAATATGCCAAGAGGGGGGTCTCGTTTTTAATAAATATATGTAATAATCGTCTTGGAAACAGCCATTAATAATGATTGACTGCAAAAGATTAATACAAATGAAAATGAAGTATTTCCAATTGTAAAAAGTTATTCTTTTTATGTATCGCAATAAAGTATTCTTAAAGTATTAATTTTAAAGTTATCAAAAACTATTAATATTCTCCGGCTGTCTCAAATTGCAGTTATAAAAAATGATCAAAATGGTCAATGTGGGTAAAAATGGAATCAATCGTATAAGTGGAGAGGTACTACAGATTTTATTCCAAAAATATGGTTTAGCGAAGCGCAGTCTAAATTGATAATTAATGAAAAATTATTTATAATTTCAGTTCCCAATTGGACCTAATACTTGGAAAGAACCATAAAATAAATCGTTTATTTTAATCTAAGCAAATCGAATAGAATAACTGAGCATTTTGAAAATTCGGTTGGCAATAAATGAAATATTGCATTTCAAATTTATTAAGTATTTTAATTTCGTATATTTATATCCATGCGAAGCTTTTTTAGGACCCACCCCATATCACAAAGAGTTTCGCAATCAGTGAGGCCGGTCAAACTAGGAATGGTGAGTGCTATGAACAGAAAAAGAGGGCAGGAGAAGAAGCGAAGCATTTAACTATCATCGCCTGGTGCAGATATTCGATTAATTCGTAAAGCATATCAAAGCAATTTCCCATTTATTTTTGCCTTACCTTAAAAAGCATAAATGTTCACATTTTTTATCCAATTAATTAAATCCGGCTAAAGAAATCTAATCTAAACCCAGACAGCATTCCTGCTGACGTTGATTATTCGCCAAAGGAAAACATAATTTCAGCATGGCAGCATTTTTAACACAATAGAATAAATATAGATTCATGAATTACAACCAATTTATAAGCCATCTTTCTTAAAAGCGATAATTAATTCATGAAAATCTATTAATTTGATTAGCATTTTTCAAGTTAAAATTTTATTTTTCATATCTTATTTATAATATATAGTTTGCTTCGAAATTCGCATCGAACCTCATAATATTTGTACATTTGGCACTTTGGTACAAAATTTGGCACTTAAAATTTTTCCATAAATCTGCGCGCTTCGTTATAAGTAAGTATAATGGAGACCAGTTGGAGAGCACCTTGCTGCTATTCCAAATAATTTAACAAACTACACCTATATCAGATATTTTTTATTGCAAAAATAGCTATCAATTTGAATTCTATTAATTATTATGATTTATGTGCCAACGTTAATGCCACTAGAGATAATGGAAATTACGCAAACCCATCATCGAAGCTAAGATCCCTCTCTCACAGTTTTTCATCAGCTATTAATAAATATCAAGCAAAGTTTTTCCTCCTTTACTTTCTCTAGTTTCAAAAACAAACTTAATAATGTTGTCCAATTCTTTGCCAGGAGTGATATTTTATTCCATTTTTTATTTGGTTTCCAGCCGTTATCATAATCATTATTCGCAATTTCTTCTCGTCATCAGCATATAAGTTCGTTCTGTCTTTTTTTCTTATGGCTCCTTTACCT